TGTATATGTCAATCCCAATCTTCCAGCTTGTCCCTCCCCACCTCTTACCCCCTGATAACCATAGGTTTGTTTTCCATATCTGCAACTCTACTTCTGTTTTGTAGATAAGTTCATTTGTACTCCTTTCTTTTTTTTTTTAAGATTCCACATATAATGATTTTCCTCATTTTTGATGACATTGACAGCGTTGAAGTGTTCTGCAGGATCCGGTCAGGTGTTTTGCAGAATGCTCCTTTATTGGAGTTTGTGGAATGCTTTTCTCATGATTTGAGTGGGCTTGTAGGTTTGGAGGAAGACCCCAGAGGTCCCATTTTCATCACACTATATCAAAAGTACATACTATCAATGTGATTTATCATTGTTGATGTTGACCTTGATCACCTGGCTGACAAGTGTCGTCAGGTTTCTCCACTGTAAACTTACTCTTTTTTTTACCTTCTTTTCCATACTGTACTCTTTGGAAGAAAGTACTAGGGGCAGCCCGTACTTACGGAGTAGGGAATTATGTTGCTCCTCATTGAAGGTGGAGCATCTATATAAATTATTTGGAATTTCTCTGCATGACAGATTTGTCACTTCTCCCCCATTTATTTATCATTTATAGCCGTATAAGCACATGACTATTTATTTTATATTTGGGGTTATAATCTAATACTACTTTTAAATTTACATCTACAATTGTTCCAGCTTCAGCCATCGGGAGCTCTTTCAGTTGGCTCCTGTTTTCCTTTGACATACCCCATCCGTGTGTGTGTGTCTGTTTAAGCATTTCCTTCATTTCTGGCACTACAAGATGCTCCAGGCTCATCTTGTATGTTTTCACCCCAATCCTAGAATCAGCCCTTTCTCCAAGTGGTTCCTTTTACTGAAGAATGGCATTAGAAACCAAGATCTGAGCCCAAAGTGTGCTCGTCCCTACAATATTGAGTCTTTTAATCCATGAACACAGAGTATCTTATATTTATTTAGATCTTTATTTCCTTCATCAGAGTTTTGTAGTTTCACTCATATAGGTACTGTACATATTTTGTTAGACTTACACCTTTCTTTTTGGTGCTAATGTTTTCTTGAATTTTAAGTTCCAACTGTTCGTTGCTAGTAGATAGGAAATCAATTGACTTTTGTATGTTAACCTTGTCACCTGTGACCTTGCTATAATCACTTATTAATTCCATGAGGGGTTTTTGGGTTGATTTTGGGGGGATGTTTTTCACAGACAATCATGTCACCTGAGAACAGTTTTACTTCTTCCTTTTATTTCCTTTTCTTCTTACTGCACTAGCTCACACTTCCAGTATGATGTTAAATATATATGTGTACTTTTTATATTTCATATTCTTTTCTGAGTTGTTACTGCTCTTCAAATCTTTTTTCCAATCACTTTATTTCTGAGTTTTTCTGTTTTATGTTGTTCTATCTCCTAGCATTTAAAAAATTTCTCGTTTTGAAATAATGGGTTATAGTTTTCATCTATTTTTCTGCTTCATATTCTCTTTTTTATTATAACAGCTTTAAATAGGATTCAATTACTATTCTTTTCATGGCGTAATTTTAGGCTAAATAAGTTATTCTATATGTGTAGACAGCAGTGGGTAGAATAGCTTTTCTAGCTTCTAGAGCTTCCTTTTCTGATGTTTTCATAAAATCCTGGTCATTTCTTAGCTCTGTCTCCTCTTCTTTTCTCCCACTTTTATCTGGACCTTTTTTCTTTGCCTCTGTTGTCCCTGTCCTGTTCAATTTGGATTCTACTCCCCAAAGTTTCTTCTTAGTGTTGGGTTTTTTTTCAGGTTCATTAAGTTTTGAGAGTTCTTGGACCCTCACACCCCATGAGCACTTCCAGACCTTCCTGTTCATACTTTTGTATTCACTCTGAAATTAGAGTCTGTCAGTTTTACTGCTAATCTCACATCCATCTCCCTTGCTTTTCAGTGAATACCTGTTGGCAGTTTGAAGTCCTCCCATTCTCATGGCCTTCAGCTGCTCTGTTGTCTTCCCACTATTTCCTCTTACACAGATGCTGATACTAAGTTGGTGGTTTGCTCCCACCTGTTCATAGTTTGAGCTTTATAAGGATTCTTTCTTGTTGTAGCCATGATTTGTTCTTGTAATTAGCATCGTTCTGCTATCCTAGATGTTCTACCTGTTTTATGAAGAGATTCAGACTACAATCTCCATAGTCATCTTCCTAGAGTCTTCAATAACTTAAGAGGGGGGAATAAGGTATTTTTTAAAACATTTAAACCTTTTCTATATTTTTGAAGGCAATCCAAATGCAAGTTGAAATGATTATAGATGATAGGTTGATTTTAGATACCTTTCACATTATTTAAAAGAAATTAGGTTCTTTTTGGCTTTCTTAGCCTCAGATTAATTACCCACAAGTGTAACTCTATTCCCAGACCTCCCCAACCTACTGAAGAGTACTCTCAGACTTAATAAAACATCAGAACTCGGCTTAAAATAACTTGTGATGACTGCTCTATGTTTTCAGGCCAAGCATCTTAGAGGGTCTCATAATTTTATTTATTACCATATTTTTGTGTCCTAAAATTCTGTTTTTATCTGTACTACAATCTACAGTCCAATTTAACAAACTGGCTGCCAATTGTCTGAATGTGGTCCAAGACATGTTTTGTTTAGCCTGCTCAGTACTTAAAAACAAACAAAATAGTTGCCAACACTTAAAAATCAGATTTCATGTAAAAATCCAGATTTCCGGCTGCTGTTTAAAAAAATTGAGATCTGGGCTTCCCTGGTAGTGCAGTGGTTGAGAGTCCGCCTGCCGATGCAGGGGACACGGGTTTGTGCCCTGGTCCGGGAAGATCCCACATGCCATGGAGCGGCTAGGCCCGTGAGCCACGGCTACTGAGCGTGCGCATCCGGAGCCTGTGCTCCGCAGCAGGGGAGGCCACAACAGTGAGAGGCCCGCGTACCGCAAAAAAAAAAAAAAAAAAAAAAAAAAAATTAAACACAAATTTTACGAATCAATGAAAATAAGATTATTTCATATTATGATTTTTACCTTCCTGTATTTTCTGAATGCTTTCTATATCTTTGGTTAAACTGTCCATTTTTTGCTGGTGCTTGGTTTGGATTGATACTAGAATCATTTTAAATTTCACACCCTATGATTATAAAGTTGAATAGCTATGTCAAAAGAAAACATTGACCCCACTGTTAAAATATGAGGGTTTTTAAAGTAACTTAACATTTTTGTTTTAAATATCTAAGGATATCAGGTATTAACGCTGAAAAAATATATATAATTATTCATAAAACAGATCCCTGAGGGACAACTGAACAGCTGTTGAAAGTTCTGGCACATCACTATGGCCAGCCTGAGTTTAATGACCTACATGTGAAGGGCTACATATCCAATTACTAATCCTCCCTCAGCTACTCATTGGCCTGATATGGAGGCAGCTGAAAAAAGATGCCCTACTAACAGATCAGAAATGGATCCAGACTTCTCTGCCAATGCTTAGTTAAAAGATCTTTTGGACTGGAGATAATGAAGAAGCAGACATGGCTTACAACCATGTTACAGCTGACATAGTTTTTCAAGTAAAATTTGATGGTTTAAAGCAAGAGTGACTTCCATTTTGTAACTAAATTTAGAGAAATTTCAATTCTTTAAGAAAACTCAAATTCAGAATTTAATTTTGTATTCACTGAAACCTTTAAACATGTTAAAATGTTTTCAAATATCAAGAATAATTTACTTCAGAGTTCTTTCCATACTGAGATGGCAGTCTTCTATTCATTGAGTCAAACAACATTCTTCTATTCAAATTCTGCAATAATCACCTTTTAGAAGTAGGACCAGGGACTTCCCCGGTGGTCCACTGGCTAAGACTCTGCCCTTCCACTGCAGGGTCCGAGGGTTCGATCCCTAGTTGAGGAACTAGGCTCCCACATGCAGCAAGGCGCAGCCAAAAAAATAAATAAACAAAACAAAACAAAACAAAGGAGGACCAAATTAAAAACTAAATAGAAAATGACAATCTACCGGATTATGTTTCAGCCCTCCCTCAGTTGACTTGATCTATATATAGCAAAAAGATTACATAAGGTCAGGTATTATAAACAATGAAACGTCACCTGACGTTTTGCAAAATAGCATATGTAAAACCGCTCAAGAAATGAATGGAGAGTGAGACTTGCGGTTGTAAGCAAGAAAAAGCTTAACCATTCCAGGTTTACACGCATCTTATTGGGAGTTTGACTCACTTTTAAAATTTGATTTTCCATTTGAGTTGTGTAAAATCATGTGATACTAACAACCTTCTTCTGTATTAGTTACAAATAGTTTAGGCAAGAGATGCTTTCATCTCCAACACGGAAGAATTAAGAGCCCCTCAACAGTATTTCGCACTTGTAATTTTTAAGAGTAGGAATGTCTTAACATCCCCCGCCATCCCCAAAGAAATATGAGTGAATATATGACGCAGGCATAACCTTGCCTTGAAGTGGAAAAACAGACATCACGCAACTACCTCCCACTCCAGAAACCCTAACTACAGACCCCGCCCCACATAAACTCCCGCCCCTTTCTCCGACTGCGGGTACGGAGTTGGCGCAGTTAGCTGACGTAAGACGTAACCTCCGTAGCCTCCTACGCGTAGCTACCGTGTCTGCCTCTGGGAGTTGAAGTTTCCGAAAGAGGACCTTCTGGAGTGGTAAAGACCACTACAAAAAGCTTTCTGTGCGGGCTCTCAGGTTCCCCGACAACTCCTCCGTTCGGTAAGTCTCTTGGCACGGAGGCTATCGCTCGCCTACCCTTTGATATAATCCGAGCGCAAAAGGAGCGCGCGCCACTGCTGCCTTCCGCTAGCAGTAGGGCTTCACGAGGGAGAGGGGAGTGGGACACTGGAAGCAGCAACCGAGACCCAGCTTCCGAAGGAAGTGACGTCAGAGAGCGCGCCCCCCTCGCCTTGCCAAACAGATTTTTGATTCGTCGGCTACAGTTTAATCCCGCCTCCGGAATGCGTCCGCCCTCGGGCGGCCTGTAGGGAAGAGTGGGGCGCGGCTCTGTCCACAAGCGTCGGGGCTGTCGCTGTCGACGTTTGCTTGCGGGTAGCGATGCGGTCCCTAGCATGTGAAGGGTGTGCGCTTCCAAAGAATGAAGGGAGAGGGAAATCTGGACTTTGAAGGGCCGGTAAACGAGTTGTGGTTCTGCCACTTGGTGGCTAGAGAGCGTGAGCATGTCGCTTCACCTCTTTAAACCTGCCTTACCTCAGTTTTCCAAAGACGTCGCTGAGCGCTCTGAAATGTGGGGAGAGGCCAGGGCGAGGTTGCTGCAGGTGCTGTCAGCCCCACGGTGGTGAGCTGAGGACGATTTTAAGAAGTCCGTGGTGTTACTGGATTTCACTGAAATATTTTGTGTTAAAATTCGGGACTTTTTCTAGAGATATAAAGAGGATAGCGACAGAAGACTTTCTCACTTTATTTTTCTTTGTTTTAAATCTTGCCCCGTCTCCCCAGCCCGGCCCAGCCCAGCCCTCTCTGCCTAAGGGCCTCATAGCTGATCCGAGCTATGCACATTTGGCCCGCGCGTTTTAAAAAGGGTATTCTTTATCACCGTCAGGTCATTTAATTCCATTTTGCAGTTATTCCGACATTCATTTGGATCTTCCTGTAAGGGAGGCTGTGTCATAAATTATGAAGACTTTAGCCCAATCAGTAAAACCATGAAATTTTTTTTTTTTTAACTTTTGGCCAGTCACTCATTATGATGTATGTCGTCGTTGCCGGCAGTTGTGCTAAGAAGTGGGAATACAAGGACGATTGAGATACTATTTTTTAATGTATTTATTCCATACCAAATTGCCTTAGTCATCCTTATCCAGTTGTTAATTTTATAAGACCATCAGATAACCTGGATCTGCAACTAAATGAAACATTTTAAAAAAATTCAATGCCCCGGTAAACTAAATTTCACGCAATTATTTCTATAATTGCTACAAAATTTGTTGAACGTGGTGAATGAATGAAAATGAGCTGTGAGTATCACTGCACGTGAGGGAGGAATGCAAAACTCCATGGAGTTTATACTTTGCTTAACAGGTTAATCCAAACAAGCGAGTACATAGTGAAATGCTTATTGTATGTTGTAGGCAGTAGGAGTTGGTACGTATCTTTGTATGTAGAGTATGCTGCAAGCAATAATTTATAGGATCTCAAGCTAGCATCATTTTTGTTGTGCAATGTGCAATGTATCTAGCTTATTCAAAGCTTAAAAAAATTCTCTCACTACAGTGCATTTTCTTAATTGGGAATAACTTTAAAAATAGTAGTGATAATGATGTTGACTAGCTCATGACCTTTTGTATTTGATAGGCTGTTTAAAAACATTAGTATGCAATGATAAGCAAATTAGATTTAACTTAGACTTCTTAGATAGGAAAGGCGAAAGCTCCCCCTGGTGTGCATAAGCTGTAAAACATTGCTATACTTTTCTAAAATTTTCACATGATAAAGCAAATCAACACTTGCAGTTTGGAACAGAGTAGAGAACTAGCAAAAAATGCCACTGATAATAGAAATATTCTCTCTTAGAATATTAATCACTGTTTCATGAAGAAAGCAATTTGTTTCCTCTGAATTTTAATTGTGCCTTTAAGTTTGCACATTTAGCTTAATGGGCAGGTTTAGCTTATGTTTTCTCCACCCTATATTGTTTTGAATACATTTATTGCCCATTTTTATTAACGTACTATCTATGGAAAGGAAATAAAATTGATCCTAGGGGTCACAATATATAGTTATTTTCTTCTGATCTTTTCAGGCTTACTGTGTTTCTCCTGTCTCCTGTTCCTTAAATTGAATGCTAACCTTATTTTCCAGATTAAAAAAAAAAAATTAGTGAATGCACTCAAGGTTATACATTTACCCTCATTTACCTTTTTGGCCTGTAGTTCTCTCATTCTGTTATTTGTATCTAAATGCTCGGACATACTATTTTTTTGTTCTATTTTTCTGTCTGAATTCTGAGTTAGATTCTGAGGATGTCTTCTAATTCATCAATTTACCTCTTGGACTCCAGGTAATCTGGAGTTTGTCTCATACGTTGAAATTTTTATATCTTCATTTCCTAGTTTCCAAATTGGTTCTTTTTTACACATTCTTGTTTTCCTATTTTTATGCCTGCTTTTGTGTCCCAATTTCCTGTTTTGTTTTTATGGTTATTACTCTTCATGAGCTCTGAAAGATTTCAACCAAACTTATTTTAAAGTCATTTTCACATTGCTCTATTCAATTTTTATAGAGTGAATTTATCTCCTGCTTATTGATTTAGCTGGAGTTTTTTTTCATCATTTCTGTCTTTTTGTAATTTTGCTTTGCAGACTCATCTTGAATGGAATTATAACTTTCCTCTCCAAACTACTGATTTTCTGGTTTCTCCCATCCATGACCCTTTTCAGTGCTTCAGCCCACAGCAGAGCTTATATATGTGGTTCAGAATTCTAATCATGTAATAATATAAGTTCATATGTCACCTCATGCTGGACCCAGGTTGTAGCCAAGAGGCTGTGTCTGTTTCCTTCAGGTTTCCCCCAAGTAGTCAGTTTTGTATAAGCTATAGTCTATAATTTTACCTGTTTTCAGGCTTTTTTCATGGAAAGAGGAGACCCACCCCTAACACTAGTTTAAGGGTTCGTCTTAAACTGTCTCCCATCTTTCTCCCATCCTCTGTCTTGTATTCTTCTTCTCTTTACTTTAAAGCTAGGAAAACTTCTAGCTGCCTTTACACAGAAGGCCCAGTTCTTAACCTGGATTTTGAGAAAGGCTGTACCTTTTTTGTTTCCCCTTTTTATATTTTGTCTACTGTTGTCATATATTTCAAGATTGGGAGGCAGAGTGCATCAAAACATGAACTTTTGGCAATGATCTCTAGGAAGTCTGTCCCAATTTTTTTGGTGCAGAGGCATAAGAATAGAACTGGAGCTATTTTTTTCTCCTTATGTTTCAGTGACACAGGTCTTTTCAGAGCCCTCCAACAGCAGGGTTAAAGCAACACAACTCTTTAACATTCTTTGGAAACCCTCATTTTTTAAATAAGACTGGATTTCTGGGAGATGGTAGAGTTTGATGTGGGTTGGAATCTTAGCTCCATCACTTCATTTGTCTATTCATTCAAGTATTTTGAGGACCTACTTTGTGTGACATTTGCTCTAGGTGCCTTGTTTCTTAGGAATTATTTAATAGCTTTCTAACTTTGGGCAAGTTATTTAACCTTTGTACCTCTTCCTTTGCAAAGTAGGTATATACTATCTACTTCATAGGGTTTTTATAAAGAGTAAATTAGATAATACATTTTTTATTAAGCATAATAAGAATTAATGTTTGCTCTATTTTCATTACTTTAAAAAGTCCTTTGTAATATCATATTCACTCATTTGTTTATTCTACCAATGTATAATAAGCATCTACGAAGTGCCAAGCACTGTATTAGTATTGGCAATATAATGTTGGGCAAAATCAGACTTATCCCTTACCCAATGGAGTTTCCAGTGTAGAGTCAAAGTTGAGTTGTCATTTCTAGGAGATGTTCTCCCTAAGGAGAATTGTTTGGTTGGTGGCATAAGGAAAACTTGTGAATTCTTACTTGTATTACTAAATGATTTTTTTCCCCTCTTAGTAATTTTGTGACCTAGTAAAATGCCAGGGCTTTTGCTCCAGCCCCTAAAGCACGCATCTTAAAATTTCTTGTCTTTCAGTCAAAATTCAGTAAACTTTCTAAGTTTGCTTTGGTTATCCCCATATGTCCTGTTATATCATTGCACTTTTAAAGAAAGCAAGAACCATATAATAAAACTACTGCTCAAATTATGTTCTGCAAAGGTTTTTTCCTTCCATTATCTGAATTGTGGGGATTGTTCTTTTTTCTTTTAGATGTTAGCTTCTCTGCACAGACTTGTTAGCTATCTCTGTAAGAGGGAAGAATCATGTATTTTTCTATAAGGCCAATAGAACATTTGCAAGCTTCATGCTTAGTCTTTGGTATGGATAAATAACATGCATTCTTAAGCTTTGATGTTAAGAATCAATTAAAGAGAAAAGATATCTCATATTTCTAGCCCTTTCTGTAATCTGAAAGCATGTTCAGTTTTAGGCAATGGATATGAAGATGTGGGTGTTTAAATCCAAATAAAGATGTTTGAATTGGCCCTAAGTATTCCACAGCTGATTACAGAGTCAACTTGCATATTTTGTTTTTCAGCTGTGACTTAAGTGGAAAATTGACAATTACATATTTACAGTGAAATATATTGGGGTGGGGGCAACCGAAGTTGTTCTCTGCACTGGCCAAAAGATAGAAATATATAGCATGTCTGTTGTCAAAACCCAATTGTTGAGGGTACGCCCAGATAGTGAAAGTAATATTTTTCTTGTATGGACAGCATTAAAGACAAGTACAAAAAGGTGTCTTCCATCTCTTTTAAAAAATAGTATATATTTTTTATAAAACTATATTTTCATTATATAAAATTTTAAGAATGCAGAAAGCCATGGGTGGGTCAGAATTAAAACGTGTGTATGTATTTTTTAAAACAAAATTGGACATTATGTATTGTTTTTTGCTTTGATTTTCTTATTTAACATAACCATTTCCCTTTATCATTAAATAATTTTGGGAAACATGATTTTTCTTGGCTGCTTAGTATTCCAAGCCAGTGTTATTGATGAGCTTTAATTTATTTTTAGTCCCCATTTGCTGACATTCAGGTAGTTTCTAATTTTTTATTGTTAAAAATAACAACAGTACATATATCCTTTTGCATTAATTTTGTGTGTATTTCTAATTAATTTACAGGAATTTATTCTAAGGAAATAAATTACTATGTGAAAGAGTATCACCACCATTTTAAAGCTCTTCAAACATTATAGGTCTGAGTAATTTTCTGGAAAAATTGTGCCATGGCCACCAGTACTGTATGAAAATATCCCATTTCATCAAATGATCTTTGCCAGTAAATGACAATTAATTGCCCAAATTTGCATTTTTATTCATTACTAATATGGTTTAATTTTAATCACATCCTTCAGTTTTTTTCTTACTTTTTTTGTGTTTGTAAGTCATCTGTTCATTTCAAAGTTGCTTTTCAATTTTTCAGAGGCATCAAATAATGTCATCTGAAATATTGCCAGCATTTAGTGAGACTTCTAATGTTGAAAGAAAGCAAGACTTAAATGAAGACCAAGAGGAGAATCAGAAACCAGGATTAGGTGAAGGGTTTGAACCAATATCTAAACGGCAAATGAAGAAGATAATGAAACAGAAACAATGGGAAGAACAAAGAGAACTCCGCAAGTATGTATCAGAATGCATGTATTCTACCCCTATTCACAGGGGTATATTCCAATATACCCCTATTGGAATGTTGGACCTTGCAATAGCCCTTTGACATATTAAAAATAATTGTGTTAATTAAAATTCGGGCTCTACATATTGTTAGCTAACATTGTCAATTGGCTACTAAAACTGAATGTGTTTTATTTTTTTAGCAGTGTTGATGAATTTACACTGTACACTTTTCTCACCCAGAACCTATTGTGAGTAGGAGCACAATTTCTAAAATAACTGATTTACAAAAGGGATATAGTTAGCATCCATGTCCTAGATATGGAACAAAAATAACCACCTCAGAAAGATCAAATTTGGGCCTAACATTGATTTTGCTAGAAGAACTATTGCAGGTTTTGGTGAGAGCAGTTAGGCTGAAGCTGTCACTGCATAAAGACAGAATTTACTAGAAGAAAATATTGTTGATGCAGATGAGAGAAAAAAATAAGACTTTTTTTCCACAAACAATTTTACTTTTAAATAGGAATAGTTTTTAAAAAACCATTTTATTTTTATTGAGGTATAGTTAATTTACAACGTTGTGTTAGCTTCAGGTATACAGCGAAGTGATTCAGTTATATATATAAGTATGTACATGTATATATATTCTTTTTCAGATTCTTTTCCATTATAGGTTATTACAAGACATAGAATATAGTTCCCTACGCTATACAGTAGGTCCTTGTTTATTTTATACATAAGTAGTATGTATATGTTAATCCCAAACTCCTAATTTATCTCCCCACTCCCCTGCTATCCACTCTCATAACCATAAGTTTGTTTTCTATGTCTCTGAGTCTACTTCTGTTTTGTAAATAAGTTCATTTATATCATTTTTTTAGATTCCACATATAACTGATATCATAAGATATTTGCCTTTCTCTGACTCACTTCACTTAATATCATAATCTCTAGGTCCATCCGTGTTGCTGCAAATGGCAATATTTCACTCTTGTTTATAGCTGAGTAATTTTCCATTGTATATATATACCACATCTTTATCCATTCATCTGTCGATGAACATTTAGGTTGCTTCTGTGTCTTGGCTATTGTAAATAGTGCTGCTATGAACATTGAGGTGCATGTATCTTTTTGAATTAGAGCTTCCTCCAGATATGTGCCCAGGAATGGGATTGCTGGATCATATGGTAACACTATTTTTAGTTTTTTAAGGAGCCCCATACTGTTTTCCATAGTAGCTACACCAATTTACATTCCCACCAACAGTGTAAGAGAGTTTCCTTTTCTCCACACCCTCTCCAGCATTTGTTTTTTGTAGACTTCTTAATGATGGCCATTCTAACTGGTGTAGGGTGATACCTCATTGTAGTTTTGATTTGCATTTCTCTAATAATTAGTGGCACTGAGCTTCTGTTCCTGTGCCTCTTGGCTGTTGCGGACCACAGGCTCCAGATGCGCAGGCTCAGCGGCCATGGCTCACGGGCCCAGCCACTCTGCGGCATGTGGAATCTTCCCAGACCGGGGCACAAACCCGTGTCCCCTGCATCGGCAGGCGGACTCTCAACCACTGCGCCACCAGGGAAGCCCCTGTCCATTTTTTGATTGGGCTGTTTGGTGTTTTTGATATTAAGCTGTATGAGCTTTTTGTTTATTTTGGAAATTAATCCCTTGTCAGTCACATCATTTGAAAATATTTTCTCCCACTCCAGGTCCCATTTGTTTATTTTTGTTTTTATTTCCATTACTTGAGGAGATGGATCCAAAAAAAGTATTCCTTCTATTTATATCAAAGAGTGTTTTGCCTGTATTTTCCTCTGGGAGTTTTATAGTATCTAGTCTTAATTTAGGTATTTAATCCATTTTGAATTTATTTTTGTATATGGTGTTAGAGAATGTTCTAATTTCATTCTTTTCCATATAGCTGTCCAGTTTTCCCAGCACCACTTATTGAAGAGACCATCTTTTCTCCATTGTATATTCTTGCCATCTTTGTCATAGATTAGGTGACCATAGGTGCATGGATTTATCTCTGGACTTTCTATCCTGTTCCATTAATCTATATTTTTGTTTTTGTGCCAGTACCATACTGTTTTCATGACTGTAGTTTTGTAGTATAGTCTGAAGTCAGTGAGGATGATTCCTCCAGCTTCATTCTTTTTTCTCAAGATTATTTTGGCTATTCAGGGTCTTTTGTGTTTCCATACAAATTAAAACAATTTTTTTCTAGTTCTGTGAAAAATGCCATTGATAATTTGGTAAGGATTGCACTGAATCTGTAGATTGCTTGGGTAGTATGGTCATTTTAACAATATTGATTCTTCCAATCCAAGAATGAGGTATCTTTGCATCTGTTTGTGTCATCTTCAGTTTCTTTCATCAGTGTCTTAGAGTTTTCAGAGTACAGGTCTTTTGGCTCCTTAGGTAGGTTTATTCCTAGGTATTTTATTCTTTTTGATGAGATGGTAAATGGGATTGTTTCCTTAATTTCTCTTTCTGATATTTCATTCTTAGTGTATAGAAATGCAACAGATTTCTGTGTATTAATTTTGTATCCTGCAACTTTACTGAATTCATTGTTGAGCTTGAGTAGTTTTCTGGTAGCACTTTAGGATTTTCTATGTATACAGAATTATGTCATCTGCAAAGAGTGACAGTTTTACTTGTTCTTTTCCAATTTGGATTCCTTTTATTTATTTCTTTTTCTTTCTGCCTGCTGTGGCTTCGACTTCCAAAACTATGTTGAATAAAAATTTTACTTTTTTTATATGGTTATAAATGTAACTCAAAAATCATGTAGGAGAAGAATGATAAAAGTAAAATTTATCGTAACTCTCAAACTCAGTATTTTAAAAGTTTTGTAAGTATGTTTAACGTGCTACCAGTAGTAAATAAAATTATTAGTATAGTTCGAATTTGTGTAAAAAGTACTATACTGTTTTTGCAAACTCATTTATTATGTAAAGCTTTTAGATAGATTATATATAATTGCTGATATCTGACATTTTTTTTTTTTTTTTGCGGTACGCGGGCCTCTCACTGTTGCGGCCTCTCCCGTTGCGGAGCACAGGCTCTGGACGTGCAGGCCCAGCGGCCATGGCTCACGGGCCCAGCCGCTCTGCGGCATGTGGGATCCTCCCGGACCGGGGCATGAACCCATGTCCCCTGAATTGGCAGGCGGACTCTCAACCACTGCGCCACCAGGGAAGCCCTCTGACAATTTTTGACCCATGGAAGTGGCAATTTTGTTATGGTTTAGTCTGCTAATTTTTAAAAGTAATTGTTTCTTTGTCTACTTAGAAAAGTATTGTAAATGTATGAATATACAAATCATGAAAAGTTATTTTCAATTACTAATTTTAGACAAAAGCGGAAGGAAAAACGCAAGAGAAAGCAATTAGAGCGACAGTGTCAACTGGAATCAAACTCAGAAGGAAGTGACAGAAAACGTATTCGAAGAGATGTTGTTTACAGCCCACTCCGCCTTATCATTGACTGCAGTTTTGATAGCTTGATGGTATTAAAGGTATCATGAATCATTGTCAGAAAAATCCTGTAACTGAACTAGGCTGAATAATTTTTGCTTTAATATGTAATATGACTTTGATATAACTTTATGTACTAAAATGCATCTTTTTTCTTTTTAATTGTGGTAAAATACATGTAATGTAAAATTTACCATCTTAACCATTTTTAAGTGGACAGTTCAGTAGTGCTAATTACATTCATGTTGCTGTGCAGCCAGTCTCCAGAAGTCTTTTCATCTTGAAAAACTAAAACTCTATCCCCACTGAATGAACAACCATTTCCATTCCCCCTCCCTCAGCCCTTGGCACCACCATTCTACTTTCTGTCTCTATGAATTTGACTACTCTGTGTACCTTATGTAAGTGGAATCCTACAGTATTTGTCCTTTTGTGACTGGTTTATTTCACTGAGCATTATGTCTTGAAGGTTCACCCACATTGTAGTGTGTGTCAGAATTCCCTTATGTTTTAAGGCAGAATAATATTCTAGTGTATGTATAGACCACGTTTTGTTTATTCATTCATCTGGTGTCCATCAACATTTGTGTTGCTTCCACCTCTTGGCTATTTTGTTCTTCTTGTGTGTGTGTTTAAAATTTATTTTATTGAAGTATAGTTGATTTACAGTGCTGTCTTAGTTTCTGCTGGGCAGTAAAGTGACTCAGTTATACATTTATACATATTCTTTTCCATTATGGTTTATTACAAGATATTGAATATTGTTCCCTGTGCTATACAGTAGGACCTTGTTGTTTATCCATTCTATGTATAATAGTTTGCATCTGCTAATCCCAGACTCCCAATCCATCTCTCCCCCACCCCTCCTCCCCTTTGGCAACCAAAAGTCTGTTCTCTGTGTCTGTGAGTCTGTTTCTGTTTCATGGATAAGTTCATTTATGTCATATTTTTAGATTCTACATGTAAGTGACATCATACAGTATTTGTCTTTCTCTCTCTGACTCACTTCACTTAGTATGATAATCTCTAAGTCCATCCATGTTGCTGCAAATGGCATTTTTCATTCTTTTTTATGGCTATAATCTCTAAGTCCATCCATGTTGCTGCAAGTGGCATTATTTCATTCTTTTTTATGGCTAAGTAGTATTCCATTGTATAAATATATCACATCTTCTTTATCTGTTCACCTGTTGATGGACATTTAGGTTGCTTCCATGTCTTGGCTGTTGTAAATAGTGCTGCTATGAACATAGGGTACATGTTTTGTTTCGAATTACAGTTTTCTCTGGATATATGCCCAGGAATGGGACTGCTGGATCATATGGCAACTCTATTTTTAGTTTTTTGAGGAACCTCCATACTGTTCTCCATAGTGGCTGTACCAATTTACATTCCCACCAACAGTATAGGAGGGTTCCCTTTTCTCCACACCCTCTCCAGCATTTATTATTTGTAGATTTTTTGATGATGGCCATTCTGACTGATGTGAGGTGATATCTCACTGTAGTTTTGACTTGCATTTCTCTAATAATTAGCGATATTGAGCATCTTTTCATGTGCTTTTTAGCCATCTGTATGTCTTTGGAGAAATGTCTGTTTAGGTCTTCTGCCCATTTTTTGATTGGGTTTTTTTTTTATATTAAGGTGTATGAGCTTTTTGTTTGTTTTGGAAATTAAGCCCTGGTTGGTCGCATCATTTGCAAATATTTTCTCCCAGTCCATCCTTTGCTGTGCAAAGGCATCCTTTGCTGTGCAAAAGGTTATAAGTTTGATTAGGTCTCAATTGTTTATTTTCACTTTTATTTCTATTGCCTTGGGAGACTGACCTAAGAAAACATAGGTAGGATTTATGTCACAGAATGTTTTGCCTATATTCTCTTCTAAGAGTTTTATGATGTCATGTTTTGTATTTAAGTCTCTAAGACATTTTGAGTTTATTTTTGTGTGTGGTGTGAGGGTGTGTTCTAACTTCACTGATTTATGTGCAGCTGTACAACTTTCCCAGCACCACTTGGTGAAAAGACTTTGTTTTCCCATTGTATATTTTTGCCTCCTTTGTTGAAGATTAATTGACCATAGGTGCATGGGTTTATTTCTGGGCTTTCTATTCTGTTCCAGTGACCCATATGTCTGTTTTTGTGCCAGTACCAAACTGTTTTGATTACTGTAGTTTTGTAGTATTGTCTGAAGTCTGGGAGGGTTATGCTTCCAGTTTTGTTCTTTTCCTCAGGATTGCTTTGCAAATTCTGGATCTTTTATGGTTCCATATAAATTTTAGGATTATTTGTTCTAGTTCTGTGAAAAATATCATGGGTGATTTGATAGGGATCGCATTAAGTCTGTAGATTGCTTTGGGTAGTATAGCCATTTTAACAATATTAATTCTTCCAAGCCAAGAGCATGGAATATCTTTCCATTTCTTTGAATCATCTTCAGTTTCCTCAGTTTCCTTTATTGATGTTTTATAGTTCTCAGCATGTAAGTTTTTCACTTCCTTGGTCAGGTTTATTCTTAAGTATTTTTTTTTTGGTTGCAATTTTAAAAGGGATTCTGTTTTTACATTCCCTTTCTGAAATTTATGGTTAATGTAAAGAAATGCAACTGATTTCTGTATGTTAATCTTGTATCCTGCTACCTTGCTGAATTCATTTATCAGTTCTAGTAGTTTTTGTGTGGAGTCTTTAGGGTTTTCTATATATAGTATCATGTCATCTGAATATAATGACAATTTTACCTCTTCCTTTCCAATTTGGATACCTTTTATTTTTTTTGTCTGATTGCTGTGGCTAGGATTTCCAATACTATGTTGAATAGAAGTGATGAGAGTGGGCATCCTTGTCTTCTTCCAGTTTATAGCAGGAAGGCTTTCAGCTTTTCACCAGTGAGTATTATATTGGCTGTGGGTTTGTCATAAATAGCTTTTATTATGTTGAAATATGTTCCCTCTATACTCACTTTCGTAAGAGTTTTTATCATGAATGGATGTTGAATTTTATCAAATGCTTTTTCTGCATCTATTGAGATATCATGTGGTTTTTGTCTTTTCTTTTGTTGGTGTGGTGTATCATATTGATTGATTTGCATATGTTGAACCATCCTTGTGACCCTGGGATGAATCCCACTTGGTTATGGTGTATGATCTTTTTTATGTGTTCTTGGATTCAGTTTGCTAATATTTTGTTGAGAATTGTTGCATCTATTTTCATCAGAGATACTGGCCTGTAATTTTCTTGTCATGGTTTGTCTGGTTTTGGTATCAGGGTGAAAATGGCTTCATAGAGTGTCTTTGGGAATGTTCCCTCCTCTTCCCTCCTCTTCAGGCTTTTGAAAGAGTTTGAGAAGGATTGATATAAGTTCTTCCTTGTATGTTTGGTTGTTATTTAAGTCTAACTGTTCTATTTTATCATTTATGATATCTGTTGCCTTACTGATTTTCTGTCTAGAAGATCTGTCCATTGCTGTGAGTAGGGTGTTAAAGTCTCCTACTATTACTGTTTTCCCATCAGCTTCTCCCTTAATGTCCATTAGTATTTATTTTATGTATTTGGGTGCTCCTATGTTGGGTGCATATATGTTGAGGAGTGTAATATCATCTTCTTATATTGATCCTCTCATCATTGTATAGTGTCCTTCTTTATCTTTCTTTATGGCCTTTGTTTTAAAGTCTATTTTGTCTGATATGAGTATTGCAACCCCCGCTTTCTTGTCATTTCCGTTTGTATGAAATATCTTTTTCCATCCCCTCACATTCAGTCTTTGTGTGTCTTTTGCCCTAAAGTGGGTCTCTTGTACGCAGCATATTATAGGCACTTGGTTTTTTATCCAATCTGCCACTCTAGGTCTTTTGATAGGAGCACATTGACATTTAAGGTAATTATTGATAGGTATGTATTTATTGCCATTTTAAACCTTGTTTTCCACTTGATTTTGTATTTCTTCTTTGTTTATTTTTCCTTTTTGTATTTCCTTTTGTGATGTGATGATTCTTTTTGTATTATGCTTGTGTTCTTTTTGTTTTCTTGTGAATCTGTTGTATGTTTTTGATTTGTGGTTACCCTGTTGTTCAAGTATGTTAACCCCTTCCTATATCTACTGCCTTTAAACTGGTAGTCATATAGGCTAAAACACATTAAAAAAAAAACCCTACATTTTGTTACTCTCCTCCCCCACATTTTATGATTTCGATGTCCTCTTACATATTCATGTTCATCCTTTTGCTGTTCATTGTGGTTATCTTGCTTTCACAGAAATTTTTTCTTTCTTTTTTTTTTTAAATCTGTATACTGGCTTATTTAAGTGATTTACTTTCCAATTGTGATTTTCTCTTTTGTATAGATTCTTACTTCTCTATTTAGACAAGACCTTTTAATATTTCTTTTAGGATATGTTTAGTATTGCTTTTTTCTTTTAGTTTTTGCTTGTCTGAGAAATTCTTTCTCTCTCCTTCTATTCTAAATGATAATCTTGCTGGGTAGAGTATCCTAGGTTGCAGACTTTTCCCTTTCAGGACTTTGAATGTATCTTGCCATTCCCTTCTGGCCTGGAACATATTTGTAGAGAAATCAGCTGATAGCCTAATGGGGGGTTCCCTTGTAATTAACTCTTTTTTGTTCTCTTGCTGCCTTTAGAATACTCTCTTTATCTTTTACTTTTGCCATTTTTTAATTATAATACGTCTTGGTGTAAGTCTGTTCAGGTTCATTTGTTTGGGACACTCTGTGCTTCCTGTACCTGTATAACTGTTTACTTCTTTAGGTTTGGGGAGTTTTCAGCCATAATTCCTTCAAATATATTTTCGATTCCCTTTTCTCTTTCTTCTCCTTCTGGGATCCCTATTATGTGTAGATTGGCATGCTTTATATTACCCCATACATCTTATATTGCTTTAATTTTTTTCACTTGGCTTTCTGTTTGCTGTTCTGATTGTGTGATTTCCATTAGTCTGTCTTCCACATCGCTTATTTGTTCTTCTGCATTATTCAATTTGCTGTTCGTTGACTTTAGCTCAGCTTTTGTCTCAGCGAATGAGTTTTCTAATTTTTCTTGTCTCCTGTTTATATTTCCTAGTTCCTTTTCCTGGTAATCTGCATTTATGTCAATAGCCTTTCTTACTTCCTTCAGTATTTTCATTATCTCCTTTTTGAACTTGATGTCTGTTAGACTGAAGGAGTCTGTTTCATTGTCTTTGATTGGCAATCTCTTGATCTTTTCATTGGGAGTAGTTCCTCTGTTTTCTTCATTTTACTTATAGTTCTCTTACTCTATGAGTTTAGGAGAAACAATTGTTTCCTAAATAGTTGGAGATATTTTTATGTGGGAATGTCCCTGTGTAGCCTGCATGGGTTTAATATTTTTGGTGAGAGAGCTGTTTTTTGTATGGATACCTGCTGTTGTCTCCTCGATAGGGGGTGTGACTGGGGTTGTGGTGGCCAGAGCCTGCACTGAATATTGAGCAGGGCCTCCTCTTTGCTCTGTGGTTGTCACAGCCCTATTGGAGGCAAGGTCTGTTCCCCAGTTGTTGGAGTAGAAGCCCCCAGATCCATTTCTGAGCTGTAGTGTGAGATAAGCAGTATTGGAGCACTCCCACTGGGAGAGGAGCCACTGAGTATTCCTCTGCCAGAGCTGTCTGCTGAGAAGTGTGCTCTGTCGTGTCATCTGTCACCCGTTGTGCAGGCTCACAAAGTACACTGTTGTGGGCACTGCCCTCAGCCTCACCTCAACCATGGGAATGCAGGCACTGTTGTTCCTCAGGTGCTGGGTTCACAAAGCCTCCAGCGCAGATCCGCTGGCACAGATCCACTGAATTCAGGTACCAGGACCGCAGTAGTTGCACACCTGAACCTGCCGTGGGAGCTATGGATGGAGCCCAGACCCCGGCCCAACTCCATATGCACACACCCACAAAGCCCACAGCTGCTAAGGCCAGACCCGCCTCAGGCATGGGAGCACCTGTATCCCACTTGGATCTTCTGCAGGAACTGAGTTTACAAAGCTGGCAGCAGTGGCCTAAACCCACAGATCGAACAGCCACAGGGAGAGGGCTCAGATATCAGCCCTGCTTCGTAAGTCACACGGCCCCTGGGGATCAGGGATCAGCTCTGATTTCAGCCCTGCCTCTGTGTGTGGACAACTTGCTGGCACTTGCGTGCTCCCAGAGCTCGTAGAGGCAGCACTGAGCCTGATGAGAGCTCACTGAGAAAGAAGGAGCTTTAGCAGGCGCTGCCCCTTAACAGTGGGGTTTCAGTGGCAGCAGCACACCTGCTGTGAGTGCGCCAAGAGTGAGGCTGCTATGGCGGACCCTGCCCTTCCCTTTGTGCACCCCTTAACAATGGTGCTTCACTTCTGTGGCAGGCCCGAGCCACAGTCCAGCCCCTTCAGGCTGTCTCCGTGCAGCCAACCCCAGTCCTCTCCCTGGGTCTGTCCTCTGAAGCCCGAGCTTTAGCACCCAGCCACCATACACAAAAGCAAAAGCAGATCTCAGACTGGGGAGTGCAGGGCGATGGCAGGGACCATTTGTGCAGGTCTCCGTCTGTTCTGCCTGCTGCAAACCAGCTGCTGTGCTCTCCTCCGAGCCTCTGAAGCTCCCTTTCTGTCCCAGCTGATCTCCCTGCCAGTGAAGGGGCTTCCCAGGGTGCAGGAACCTTTCCTCTTTCACTGTTCCCACGCAGGGGCTCAAGTCTTGTCCCGATTCCTTTTTTTTCTTTCATCCTACCCAGTTACATGGAGATCTTTCCTGCAGTTTTGGGTGTCTGAGATCTGCCGGTGTTCAGCAGGTATTCTGTGAGAATTGTTCCACATGTAGACGTATTTTTGATGTATTTGTGGGAGGAGGTGAGCTCTGTGTCCTTCTATTTTGCGATCTCGATTGGAGCCCTCTAAAATGCATCTTTTTAAAAAAATTTTTGTGGGAGTATAGTTGATTTATAATGTTGTGTTAGTTTTGGGTGTACAGCAAAGTAAATCAGTTATACATATAGATACATCCACTCTTTTTCAGATTCTTTTCCCATATAAGCCATTACACAGTATTGAGTAGAGTTCTCTGTGCTATACAGTTCATCCTTATTAGTTATCTATTTTATGTATAGTAGTGTGTATATGTCAGTCTCAGTCTTCCAATTTACCCCTCCCCCACCTTACCCTCTGGTAACCATAAGTTTGTTTTCTACATCTGTAACTCTATTTATGTTTTGTAGATAAGTTCATTTGTAGCCTTTTTTTAGATTCCACATATAAGCGATATCATATGATATTTATCTTTCTCTGTCTGACTTACTTCACTCAGTATGACAAACTCTAGGTGCATCCATGTTGCTGCAAATGGCATTATTTTGTTCTTTTTTATGGCTCAGTATTATTTTATTGTATATATGTACCACATTTTCTTTATTCATTCCTCTGTCAGTGGACATTTAGGTTGCTTTCATGTCCTGGCTATTGTAAATAGTGCTGCAATGAACATTGGAGTGCATGTATCTTTTTGAATTATGGTTTTCTCCAGATATATGCCCAGGAATGGGATTGCTGGATCATATGGTAGCTCTATTTTTATTTTTTTAAGGAACATACATACTGTTCTCCGTAGTGGCTATACCAGTTTACATTCCCACCAACAGTGCAGGAGGATTCCCTTTTCTCCACATCCTCTCCAGGATGTATTGTTTGTAGATTTTTTAATGATGGCCATTCTGACTGGTGTAAGGTGATACCTCAGTATACTTTTGATTTGAATTCCTCTAATAATTAGTGATGTTGAGCATCTCTTCATGTGCTTTTTAGTCATCTGTATGTCTTTGGAGAAATGTCTATTTAGGTCTTCTTCCCAATTTTTTGATTGGGTTGTTTGTTTTTCTGATATTGAGCTGCATGAACTGTTTGTATATATTAGAGATTAATCCCTTGTCAGTTGCTTCATTTGCAAATATTTTCTCCCGTTCTGAGGGTTGTCTTTTCATTTTGTTTATGGTTTCCTTTGCTGTGCAAAAGCTTTGAAGTTTAATTAAACTTAAAAGGTTAAGTTTTAATTAAACTTTAAGCTTAATTAAACTTAAAAAGGTCCCATTCGGACTTCCCTGGTGATCCAGTGGTTAAGACTCCACACTTCCAATGCAGGGGGGCGTGGGTTTGATCCCTGATTGGGGAACTAAGATCCCATGTGCATGGCCAAAAAAAAAAAAAAAAAACTGAAAAGAAAAACAATAATTTGTTTGATTTTTGGTTTTATTTTCATTACTCTAGGAGGTGCATTGAAAAAGATCTTGCTGTGATTTATGTCAAAGAGTGTTCTGCCTATGTTTTCCTCTAAGAGTTTTATAGTCTCCAGCCTTACATTTAGGTCTTTAATCCATTTTGAGTTTATTTTTGTGTATGGTGTTAGGGCGTGTTCTAATTTCATTCTTTTACATATAGCTGTCCAGTTTTCCCAGCACCACTTATTAAAGAGACTGTCTTTTCTCCGTTGTATATTCTTGCCTCCTTTAGGTGACCATAGGTGCGTGGGTTTATCTCTGGACTTTCTATCCTTTTCCATTGATCTATATTTCTGGTTTTGTGCTAGTACCATACTGTTTTTGTGACTGTAGCTTTGTAGTATAGTCTGAAGTCAGGGAGCCTGATTCCTCCAGCTGCGTTTTTCTTTCTCAAGATTGCTTTGGCTACTCAGTCTTTTGTGTTTCCATACAAATTTAAAAATTTTTTGTTCTAATTCTGTGAAAAATGCCATTGGTAATTTGATAGGGATTGCATTGAATCTGTAGATTGCTTTAGGTACTATAGTAATTTTGACAATATTAACTCTTCCAATCCAAGAACATGGAATATCTTAGATCTCTCTCCATATGTTTGATTTCTTTCATCAGTATCTTACAGTTTTCTGAGTACAGGTCTTTTGCCTCCTTAGGTAGGTTTATTCCTAAGTATTTTTATTCTTTTTGATGTGATGATAAATGGGATTGTTTCCTTGATTTCTCTTTTTGACCTTCTGTTGTTAGTGTGCAGGAATGTGTACTCCACCCAGCAAAGCTCTCATTCGTATTAGATGGAGAAATCGAAAGCTTTATGCAAAAGCTAAGGGAAATCAGCACCACCAAACCAGCTTTAAAATGCATCTTAAAATTAAGTTTTTCAAAATCTGTTACCCTAAATTAAAGTAGCTAATAAGTTGCTTTTATTTATATGTATATGTGTAGACAGAAGGAAAGACAGATACTCTAAGAGATTATGAAACTCAGTAATTGCATATTAATCATAAAGTGCTGTGGGGAGTTTGTTATTTATCCTAATCAAAAGGAAGAAAATAAGAAATACGATTGGCTTAATAGAATTATTTCTTATTTAATAGTTTGAGAAACCTGGTTGTTTAAACAATGCTACTAAAAGGAATATGTTTATAACCTTTGGTAGTTATAAAAATTGTAATAGCATGACTATAAGAGAGTTCTTTTTTTCTTTTGTTGTCTCTTAAGAAGAGTGAAAGTTTTCCTGAACTTGCATTTTAAGTGGCTACAAAATGTGAAATAATGGGTCACTTATAGAGTATTGACTTATGGTAATTATTTTATTAGTATGTAAGAAAACTGAATGGAAATTATCAGAAAGGACTTGTATTTCAAAAGAAAGGATGTCCCTATCTAGTCATCCCTTCTGCTTATTCTATTCCACTCGGATTGTGGAATGGCCATAGATAATTTTGAAAATATTGCTTTAAAAATTTCACTCTTTTATAGGACATTAAGAAACTTCATAAGCAGATTCAACGATGTTATGCAGAAAATCGACGAGCACTGCATCCTGTGCAGGTATGTTTGGGGAATTTAAAACAAACTTCCAATTTCCTTTTATATCTTCCTTCGGAAAAGGCATAGGTAATCCTCGTTGCTTTTATAAGAAAGAGTCTTACAAGTAATCTTTCTTAGAGAACAAAATGCCTATTTGTAAAAATGTTTTATTTTTCTACAAAAATAAAATATTTTAAACATTTTTTCATGTCATTCTCAAACACATTGTGCCCATTCATCATTAGTCTTATACACACTGACCTGTTCACTGCTGTGTAGTTGAACATCTTCATTAAAGGACTTATGCATATTTCCATACCAGTTTCTCAGCTCTCAATTCCTTCCTTTCTGGGGAATGGGGTAACTGCCCCTGGCTGATATGTGCCATTGTGTCTGTTGCCTAGATTTTTTCTACTTAAAGGATATTGAGTCACTAATAATTTTGAAAGGTACTTTATTAGCTAGAATGAGGAAGTGATTTGTGAGACTAGTTGGCTGCTCTTAAGAGTAGGGTCATTTTTCTTACTGAATTTGTTTGAATTCTAGGCGACCTAAAAATTAATTCTGGCTCACTGATGTTAAAAACCAGAAAATCTTAATATACTTTTGGTTAGATATTTTCTTCTTATCAAGTGATAGTAATATTACATTTTTACATTCTATATTCTTCTCACCCTTGATTAGATTTGAAATAGGTTTCAGGGTTTAGAGTCAAAGCAAAATTATGAAGATTTTGGACTGGTAAAAAAATAACTGTAGTGGCAAAAGAAGGGGAAGGGAAACTTCACATGGAAGCAGGAAGTTTATAGTAAAGTGATCATTAAACAAGAGGCAGATTATAACTGCTTAGAAAACAGGATGAAAATGTAGATGGAATACAGAAGTTAGTGGGTTAGGAGATACACAAAAATACATGTTGCTTGTACCACAAATTTATTCTTGCACGTTTAAAGCATGCCATAAATTCATTTTTTTCCAGAATGAAAATATTTTGTCTTTCATTGATAATCAGAGGAGTGTATGAGGGAATAAAATATTGACTTTAATAGTCATTTGCTCTCTCTTTGTATACCTGCCAATCTCTTTATCAGTTTTACTTGACAAGCCATGGAGGCCAGTTGAAAAAGAACATGGATGAAAATGACAAAGGATGGGTCAACTGGAAGGTAACTAAAATAGATTAACTCTCACATAATTCAAGGTATTTTTATGCTTAAAGGTCTACATGTTTTACCTAAGTTCTACACAATGCTAATAAATATAAGAGTCAGCAGCTACAAACCCTGCATATCACTGTACCTAAGTTTACCAGTGGAAGAAGCTAAGAGCCTTGAGATATAGTCTGTACTTGCTTTCATGAAATCTCACTTGCTATTTTACTGCCAACTTTAAAACATATTTTTTTAAAAAGGAAAAAATTTAAAGGTCTGTATGCAGTCTCTACCTAGCAAACTGGCTATACATTATTTATAAGAGTGAAGTCACTCTAAAATTTGGAAATGTACTTGCATTCTCTTTCTTCTAAATCTGTGCTGTACCATATGGTGTCCACTTCCACATGTGGCTGCTGAACTCTTGAAATGTGACTGGTCTGAGTTGAGATGTGCTATAAATGTCAAATAGACATTAGTACAAAAAAAAAGAGAGAGAATGTAAAATATCTCCTTAAAATTAAAAAAAAAACCAAATTAATTTATTAAAATTAATTTCATCTATTTCATTTCACTTTTTTTCATGTGGCTATTAGAAGATTTCATATTATATATGTGGCTCACATTTTTTTCTATTGGACTAAACTACTCTCAGTCATTTGCAAAGATTACTAATAGATTGGCTTTAGTACCAGTCCCTAAGGAACCTTAACCCTATTCTACTCAGAGAAGTAGTGGGTTATTCCTACACTTTTTTCCTTTCTCCAAGCCAGTTCTCACTGTGACAGACTTTCCCTGTCTCACTCACTAATCCCATAATGACTGCATTTAATTTATTAATAGTCCATAGTATAAAACATTTTCAAAGGTTTTTTAAGTTTTAAAGTACAATATATTTACCAAGTTTTATGTTCATGCCTATTTTTCTAAGAAATAACATAATAAGTTAGAATAGGCATACGTTCAGCTGTTTTGTGGCTTGTTAAATTTATTATTTCATACCACCAGTTTTCCAGAGAGATGTGAGTTGGCTGGTCTCTAATTATGCACATTCCTCTTGGGGCCCTTATTCAGCATAGGGATCAAGTTTATAATATACCATTTTCCAGAAAAATGGCTGTTTATTAATCAATAAGGTATACATCTTAGGTGAGGGGTCTCCGCTTCATTTTTGATTTCCACAAAAATTATTGAGAAATGCCATCTGAGCCTGGCGATGGATGCATCTTCCTTTATTCTTTTGGTGCACTTTGCAAAATTCTGACTGCCAACTGTTGTTCAGTCTTGTACCTCTGACCTGACAGTTTTGGTGAAGAAGATTTCAAATGTGTATCTTTGTGGAAGCAGATGCATGGAATTTATTAAATCTGTAAGCCCTTTCCTTTAGATGATTCATGTAGATGGAGAAGGAAGTAATTGGAGAAGGCGTTCTTTGGCTGGAGAACGATGTGAGCAAATACATGACAAAAATGCATTTGTTTTGTTGGAACAGAGAAAGATAGGTTACTGCTATATTCAGGAAAGAATTACTAAGTTAAGGAGTTTGAATTTTATTCTACAGATAAAGATAAAACATGATAGCGTTTTCAGAAAATGAGTGCACCATCCGTGTGTGGAAGTAAATTGGAGAGATCTGAGGCTAGAGACAGGGAAATAACATCAGGAGGCTACTTAAATAATTGAGATGTGAGGTGAAAAGATGTTGGAGTAGTAGATTCTAAATAAATAATACATTGTTATAATATTCTTTCAAACTTCCTTTCATATATTTTTTGGATGGGTTTGTCTAGGGAAAAGAAAATAATCATTTTTAGCCAATTTTCACAAAATCCTATTAATAACATCTTTCCCCTTGTGTTTTAAAGGATATCCACATCAAACCAGAGCACTATAGTGAATTCATACAGAAAGAAGACCTGGTTTATCTTACATCAGATTCACCTAATGTACTAAAGGAATTAGATGAATCAAAGGCCTATGTGATTGGAGGATTAGTAGATCACAACCATCACAAGGTACTATTAAGTTTTTATTTTTGCTTTTGCTCATACTTAAAATTGATATATCAGTTTTCTTGATAGTAAATACTGATAGTTGATGTTTGAGTGCCTACAATATTTCAGTCACCTTTCTAGCTAAGCAAAGCATTTTGCATATATTAGTTTGCTTTATCCTCACTGCAACCCAGTGAGGTCAGTGCTATAAAAATTTTAAAAATAGGGCTTCCCTGGTGGCGCAGTGGTTGAGAGTCCGCCTGCCAATGCAGGGGACGCGGGTTCGTGCCCTGGTCAGGGAAGATCCCACGTGCCGCGGAGCGGCTGGGCCCATGAGCCATGGCCGCTGAGCCTGCGCGTCCGGAGCCTGTGCTCCGCAACGGGAGAGGCCACAACAGTGAGAGGCCTGCGTACCGCAAAAAAAGAAAAAATTATAAAGATTAAAAAAAAAAAACATGCAAACTATCGGTTGAGAAGTTTAGCTCTTCTTCCTCCGTCACTCTGTCTTTTTGCTCTTTCAGTCCTGATTAGACCCAGGCTTTAAGGATTTTAATTTTGAGAAGAGAGAAAATTTATATTCAGCATTCTTTTAATTGACAGAAAGGGAAAAACAAAATTTATAGGCAGTTGAACATTTTTTTCAATTCAGGTTTTTATTTAATTTGTGTTTGCCATTTGTGCCTCTTAGTGTTATGTAATTGAAACATAGTTTTATCTTTTAAATTCATGGGAAGAATAATGATGCTTCTCTAGGAATTCAGTTTGTGTACTTCAAGAGAGAAAGGCAGTGTGGAGTGATGAGACGCTATTTGATCAGGAGGCATGAGCCAGGTTTTTCCTTTGGTTCTGCCACTGAGGAACTTTGTGATGGGACGGAGAGCATAATGTCTTTGGTTTCCTCATTTGTAAATTGGTTAAGACAAATGCCAGCAACATTCTAACTATACTTATTGTCAAGAGAATGTTTCCAAATTATTGGTTAAACGTACACACACACTTTTTCAGATTATATTCTCTGAACTAAAGTCTTTCCTAAAAATTATTTATTCTTTCATAGACTTTAAATAATGTAATGTTCTAGCCCAAGTTACAGTGTCTTTGTTTTAGGGACTCACGTATAAACAAGCATCAGAACATGGAATTGATCATGCACAGCTCCCCCTTGGAAATTTCGTGAAGATGAATAGTAGAAAAGTTTTGGCAATTAATCATGGTAAGTTATAAGGGGATAAACTGAAAATGTACCTGAGTGAACACTGTGAAAAATAACATTACATTTACATTTTGGACAAGTAGAAAATATACACCTTTGGAAAACACACAATTTGGGGTACAAAATTATAATATGTCATCATTTATGATTTGTTTGAATAATATATGCATACTTTACAAAATTTTGAAAATGTACAAAAGTATAAAGAAAAATAAATAGGTGTAATTTCACTATGCAGAGATACTTTGTAGAAAGTTTTTGGTGTGTTTTCTTCCAGTTCTTTTCCTATGCATATATAATATTATTTATTACATAATTGGATTCTTACTCTATTGCATAAAATGTTATAAATCCGGGGTGTTTCCCCCCATTTATTATTATAGTTATTGAATCACTGTTAGTGGCTATGTAATTTTCCATCATCTAAATACACAATAATGTAACCATTCTCCTGTTGTTATTTTTTTTCTTTTTACTATTGTAAATATCATTGTAATAGACATCCTCAGACTTAAGTCTTTGCCTGGAGTTTTGCTTTTTAAAAATTTTTCAGTAGAGATTTTTGTTAGTACACAGCTACTAATTGAGCTTTTAAATTTTCTCTATAGCAGGCTCTAGGGAGTTATAGAAACAAACTTATTGAGTCAAGGAATGAACTTCTTCTAAGACTTTTGCTAAATTAGTGGAAATTACTTTTCTATCATAAAGTAATCCAAATTTCCCCCAGCAGTGTAGTAAAGTGAAAGGACATTGAAGATAGTATTTAAAAAAAAAAAAAGCAGGCAAGACACTCCCCAGAGTGAGTGGCACTATATAGGAAAGATAGAAGAAATTTAGGTTAACACTAACCCTTTTTTTTTTCTAGTTTTATGTTAGCACATAAAGGATAAAGAAGTGGAAGGAAAAAAGAATAGGAAGGAAACAAAAAAGGTCCTCTGTCTATTATAATTGACAACAGATAATGGTAAACCTCTGAGTGCTTAAGAACTGAAATGAGAAAAAGCTACAAAAGAGGTAGCAGCGTTGAGAGCCTTAGGCATATTGGCTCTGACAGCTAATACAGGAGGAAGAAGTAATAAGAACAAAGTAATTACTAGGACATACTAGCACTCTTAACACAAAAGCAGTGTGTTTTAAAGCATGCACCATTGTGATGAACTAGGTTAAGAAACACATGGAGTTTGTCTTTGTTGCAGTGTTTGAGATTATTCTGGAATACCTAGAAACAAGAGACTGGCAAGAAGCATTTTTCACTATCTTACCCCAAAGAAAAGGAGCTGTTCCCACAGACAAAGCCTGTGAAAGTTCTTCACATGACAAGAAGTTCACCAGAGTTGAAGGTGGATTGAACAGTGATTCCAGTGAGGAGGAAAATAGAAATGAACTAGATTCACCACATAAGGAAGAAAAGCAGGATAAAGAAAATAGCACTGAATCTACAGTGAACTCTATACTACACTAATGTCATTTTTTGTTTAAGTTTAAGGAAAATTAGAAAATGAATATAGAATTTCATAGAATATTTCATAGAATATTTGAAATGGAAGAAACTTTCATTTTCTCTTATTTCTGTTGTGAATTTTTTAAACTTTCTTTTTTTAGAACTAAGTGATAAAAAGCACTAAAAAAGCATTTTTTTGTTTTTGCATAAGATTTAAATGTGTAATTTAAAAAATAATTTTCTAAGCCTCAAATAAGCATTTCTTGAGAATTTTACCTTATTAGTAAACCTTCATTCTCTTTTATTTACAAGATTGCATTCTTCAGAATGTGCCTTCTGACCTTTCAGTTTTATTATTATATGTTTATATCAATGTCTTTCTGATTTATTGCCTACTTATTTATGGAGGCAGCTATCCTGAAACTCCTTTAAGTCCACCAAAATGTTCTGTATGGGTGGTTACCTCCTATTTGCAGCTTTTATATTCAATTTAGTTACTTCAAAGGAATATAGTGATTTTAGGAATAAGTGTTGGATTGAGAAACTCAAGAATTGATTTCTTTTGGACTACGGAGCCCATCTCTGTTCTTCCTTTGTAATGCCTTTGTGGTTCTAAAGCAATCACTGAAGAGTTAAGACTCTCTTTAATATATTTTCTTAATTTCAATAATGATGGTAAATTATTTCAATTACAAAATTTAATTTTTCAGGCTATATTATTTTAAAAGGCTGTTGAAGGATCAATTTTGTCATTACCCAAATTTAAAAAGAAACAGTTCTTAAAAAGAAAAACAAAAACGTAGCTCTTAGCAGCTATTCTTTTCCTTCCATATGTACTTCTTTACAATAAAATATATTGGTTCTTAAGCAAATAAAGTTAACTTTATATGTGCATCTGTCTACTATCATATAATAATATTCAAGCTAATGTAAATGTATGTTTCTATAAATAATATAAGCATATATGAAAATATGCATGTAATTGTATATACATCTATTTGTCCATATCATGTATGATTCTCAGTTATTAATCAATGATAATAGGATTGAGTTGCCATATATCTGTTTTATTTGTGTGAATGATTGTGCTGAATATCACTAAGGAATTTAAATTTCATAAAGTGCAAAAATCCATAACTCAACATTTGTATGAGGGCATTGGCAAGGGAAGATGGGGCTCGAAAAAGATATTTTAGTTCCTACCAGTAAATGTAGAGCAATTACGTTTAAAGTGATTATTCTCTGTCACAGCTAAAGTAACATTTCAGAAGCCTTTTCTGAGTTTGCATAATTAAGTTTCTATTCTTTTTACTCATTGGCATCTCAAATTATATATATATATATATATATATGTATATATTTGGTAGAAAGTTCATTGAATTTAACATTGATGTTCACTGTCTCTTACATTGCTTTATTCTTAGTGATCTTTATAGTTATCCGTCTCAGGTCTGTGAGCAACGTATGTAAACAAAGAAAAGCCCCTGCAATGGTAGAAGAACAAAGCTTAATGTCTTAAGTTGTTTCAAAGTTCCAGGTTTTTCTGAGTAAATCTAGTTGGTGGCATGGAACATTATGCCTTTTCCTTAAATTACTCCATATGGAATAAGGCACAGTTTAATATTGAAAGGTGGAGAAAGATCATTACAAGCACTACAAAGTTTAATTTTCACCGATTATAAAAGCCCTGTAATTGTTTCCTAGGGCTGCCATAACAAACTGTTGCAAACCAGTGGTTTAAAACAACAGAATTTGTTACTCTTTAAAAAAACAAAAACAAAATAAAAGGACGTGGAAAAATGCTCAAAATCACGAATAATTAGAGACATGCAAATCCAAACAACAAAGAGGCATCACCCATCATGAGTCAGAATGGCCATCAGCAAAAAGTCTACACACAAGAAATGCTGAAGGGGTGGTGGAGAAATGCATACCCTCCTATGCTGTTGGAGAGGTGTAAACTGGTAACAGCCACTAAGGAGAACAGAACGGAGGTGCCTTTAAAAAGTAAAAATTCCATATGATCCTGCAGACCCACTACTGGGCCTATAACCTGAGAAGACCAGAATGGAAGAGACACAGGCACCCAAACGTCCACTACAGCAAGATTTACAATAGCCAAGATATGGAAGCAACCAAAACGGCCATCAACAGATGAATGGACAAACAAGAAGTGGTACATGTAGCCAATGGAATATTAGCCACGGAAAAGAATGAAAAAATGCTGTTTTCAGCACCATAGATGAGCCTAGAGATAATCATATGTGAAGTAAGAACAAGAAAGACAAATATCCTACGATATCATGTATAGATGTTATCTAAAAATTGATACCAATGAATATATTTCCACAGAGAAAGATACTCACAGACTTAGAAAACAAACTTATGGTTAACCAAAAGGAAAGGCGGGAGGAATGGATAAATTAGGATACGGGGGTTAACATAAATATACTAAAATAAAATATATAATCACCAAAGACCACCATATACCAAGTGAGGGCTACTCAACACTCTGTAATAACCTATATGGGAGCAGGATTGAAGATGAATAGATAAACGTATGTGCATAAATGAACCAGATTCTGTACACCTACAACAAACACAACATTGTACTGGAGTTTACTCCGATAGAAAATAAAATTTAAATTAAAAAAACAAGAAGTAATGAGACATAAGCTTTTGGGGGTTTGTCCTGGCACCTTCCACTCTGATTTACAACCTAGGAACATGTCTTCCAAGAAGGCTCTGTTGCCCTAGTAACCAGAGTTGGGGATGTAGATATTGCGCCGCCTTGTGGCCATTTCCTGAAACAGCAGCTTTAAACCTAGTGCTAATGGTCACTTAACATTCACAAGGCAGGGCTGTAAATGACACCTGCCCTCCAAAAATGTCCTACAGTCTGAAATTGACAAAAAAATTCAACACGGGGCAAATTTTCACAAGGTAAAGTTTACTCTTTTTTTTATTAAAAAAAAGACATGGAAAAATGGTCAACATAATGAATAATTGGAGACATGCATATCCAAACAACAAAGAAGTATCACCTCACACCAGTTAGAATGGCAATCTGCAAAAAGTCGACAAACAATAAATGCTGAAGGGGTTGTGGAGAAATGCATACCCTTTATGCTGTTGGTGGGATGTATACTGGTGACAGCCACTAACGAGAACTGAATGGAGGTGCCATTAAAAGGTAAAACTTGAGCTACCATATGATCTGGCTGACCTGCTACCGGGCCTATCAACCGAGAAGACCAGAATCTAAAAGACACAATCACCCAAACGTCCACTACAGCAAGATTTACAGTAGCCAAGAAATGGAAGCAACCAAAATGTCAATCGACATGTGAATGGACAGAAGTGGTACATGTACACAACGGAATATTAGCCACAAAAAAAGAATGAAACAGTGCCCTTTGCAGAACCATAGATGAGCCTAGAGATAATCATACTACGTGAAGTCAGAAAGAGAAAGACAAATATCCTATGATGTCATTTATAGGTGTTATCTAAAAACGGATACCAATGAACATATTTCCACAGAGAAAGACACAGACTTAGAAAACAAACTTATGGTTAACCAAATGGAAAGGCGGGAGGAATGGGTCAATTAGCATGTTGGGGTTAACATACATATACTAATACAGATAAAATAAATATATCAAAAAGGACCTACCTCATTGCAAGGGAGGTCTACTCAACCGTCTGTAATAACCTACACGGGAACAGGATCGGTACATGAATAGATATATGTATATGCATAAATGAAGCAGGTTCTGTACACTGAGAACAAACACAACATTGTAATCAAATTTACTCTGATAGAAAATAAAAATTAAATTAAAAAAACAAAGAAGTAATGAGACATAAGCTTTTGGGGGTTTGTCCTGGCACATTCCACTCTAATTTACAACAAAGGAACAGGACTTCCAGGAAGGCTCTGTTGCCCTAGTAACCAGAGAGGGGAATTGAGAAATCCTGCCACCTTGTGGCCGTTTCCCGCAACAGCAGCTTTAAACCTAGTGCTAACGGTCACATAATATTCACAAGGACTGCAGGGCTGTAAATGACACCTGCCCTCAAAAAATGTCCTGCGGTCAGGAATCGACAAGAAAATTCAACACAGGGCAAACTTTCAAGAAGACAATTTCAAGAGGTAAATTCTACTCACACCGTTGTTTCTTTTTTTCTTAAAGCACATGAAAAACTGCTCAACATCACTAATTATTAGAGTCAGGCAAATCCAAAATACAAAAAGGTATCACCTCACACCAGTTAGAATGGCCATCAGCAAAATATCTACAAACAAGAAATGCTGAAGGGGTGGTGGAGAAATTGGTACCCTCTTATGCTGCTGGTGGGATGTAAACTGGTAGCAGCCACTAATGAGAACAGAATGGAGGCAGCTTTAAAAGGTAAAAATTGAGCTACCATATGATCCGGCAGTCCAATTGCTGGGTATGTATCTAAAGACCAGAATTCGAAAAGATGCACCCAAACGTGCACTGCAGCAAGATTTACAATAGCCAAGACACGGAAGCAACCAAAATGTCCATTGACCAATGAATGGATAAAGAAAAAGTGGCACATGTCCACAATGGAATATTGTTCAGGCATGAAGAGTATGAAATAATGCCAATTGCAGCAACATAGATGAACCTAGTTGTAATCATACTAAGTGAAGTAAGTCAGAAAGAAAAAGACAAATATTGTATGATACCACTTACAGGTGGAATCTAAAAAGTAATACCAGTGAAGCAATTGACAAAAGAGAAACAGAATCACAAAAGTAGAAAATAAAATTATGGTTAACAAAGGGGAAAGATGTGGGGAAGGATAATAGGAAGCGGGGATTTACAAATAGAAACTATTACATATAAAATAGATAATCAACAAGGACCTACGTATAACAAGGGAGTTCTACTCAACATTCTGTAATAACCTATATGGGAAAAGAATCCGGAGATGAATAGATATATCTATATGTATAAATGAAAAAGATTCTGTACACCTTCGAAACACACAACACACAGCATTGTATATCATGTATACCAAGACTTTAAGCAGATGTACCCTCCCTGTGGGAGGCAGAATAATGTCCCCCCAAAGATCCTAATCTCTGGAACCTATGGTGTTACATGGTAAAGTGGAATTAAATTGCTAATCATTTGACCTTAAGATAAGATTATCTTGGATAACCTGGATAACAGGCAGGCCCAATGTAATCATAGGGTCCTTAACAGTGGAAGAGGGGGGACGGAAGAGTCAGTATCAGTGATGTGTTATGAGAAAGACTCAACCAGCCACTGCTGGCTTTAAAGATAGAAGGGAGTCATGAGGCAAGGAGTGTGGGTAACCTCTAGAGGTTGGACAGGCAAGGAAACAGATTCTCCCCTAAAGCCTCCAAAAGGAATGCAGCCCTGCCAACACCTTGGTTTTAGCCCAGTGAGATCCATTTTGGACCTCGGCCCCAGAACTGTAAGAAACTTGTATCGGCTTAAGCCACTAAGTTTGTGGTAATTTATTACAGCAGCTATAGGAAGATACTACTTTCTTTTGCCAGCAGGAAGAAATTAACAGTGAAACTCTAGATAACGGTAGAGCCAGAAGATGGAAGGATCCAGGGCCTCTGAATCACCAAGTAAAGTGAAGTCATCTGCTGGTTGAAAACACACACCTTGGACTCTTATGTGGGAAAAACCTCTGCTGTATTTGAATGATGACATTTTTTACAACTGTTTTGTCTCATCCCAATGAGTACAACTCTCTGTGCCTCAGAGAATTTAAACTTATTTTTAAATAAGTTTTCTTATTTAAAAAAAAAAGTGAGGGGCTTCCCTGGTGGCACAGCGGTTGAGAATGCAGGGGACATGGGTTCGAGACCTGGTCTGGGAAGATCCCACATTCCACGGAGCAACTGGGCCCGTGAGCCACAACTACTGAGCCTGCGTGTCTGGAGCCTGTGCTCCGCAACAAGAGAGGCCACGATAGTGAGAGGCCCGCGCACCGCGATGAAGAGTGGCCCCCGCTTGATGCAACTGGAGAAAGCCCTCGCACAGAAACGAAGACCCAACACAGCCAAAAATAAATTAATTAATTAATAATAATTAAAAAAGAAAAAAAAAGTGAGTATAAAAATAATAGCTACCTCAAATAGTTATGGTGAAACTTAAATAAGTTACTATATCTAAAGTGTTTAGAATGATTCCTGACACACAGTAAGTGTAGTATAAGTGTTATCATTAAGAGTGTGTGCATACATATGGTCACCTTATCTTTGATAAAGGAGGCAGGAATGTACAGTGGAGAAAGGACAGCCTCTTCAATAAGTGGTGCTGGGAAAAGTGGACAGGTACATGTAAAAGTATGAGATTAGATCACTCCCTAACACCATACACAAAAATAAACTCAAAATGGATTAAAGACCTAAATGTAAGGGCAGACACTATAAAACTCTTAGAGGAAAACACAGGCAGAACACTCTATGACATAAATCACAGCAAGATCCTTTTGGACCCACCTCCTAGAGAAATGGAAATAAAAACAAAAATAAACAAATGGGACCTAATGAAACTTCAAAGCTTTTGCACAGCAAAGGAAACCATAAACAAGACCAAAAGACAACCCTCAGAATGGGAGAAAATATTTGCAAATGAAGCAACTGACAAAGGATTAATTTCCAAAATTTACAAGCAGCTCATGCAGCTCAATAAGAAAAAAACAAACAACCCAATCCAAAAATGGGCAGAAGACCTAAATAGACATTTCTCCAAAGAAGATATACAGATTGACAACAAACACATGAAAGAATGCTCAACATCATTAATCATTAGAGAAATGCAAATCAAAACTACAATGAGATATCCTCTCACACCGGTCAGAATGGCCATCATCAAAAAATCTAGAAACAATAAAAGCTGGAGAGGGTGTGGAGAAAAGGGAACACTCTTGCACTGCTGGTGGGAATGTGAATTGGTTCAGCCACTATGGAGAACAGTATGGAGGTTCCTTAAAAAACTACAAATAGAACTACCATATGACCCAGCAATCCCACTACTGGGCATATACCCTGAGAAAACCATAATTCAAAAAGAGTCATGTACCACAATGTTCATTGCAGCTTTATTTACAATAGCCAGGACATGGAAACAACCTAAGTGTCCATCATCGGATGGATGGATAAAGAAGATGTGGCACATATATACAATGGAATATTACTCAGCCATAAAAAGAAACAAAACTGAGCTATTTGTAATGAGGTGGATAGACCTAGAGTCTGTCATACAGAGTGAAGTAAGTCAGAAAGAGAAAGACAAATACTGTATGCTAACACATATATATGGAATTTAAGAAAAAAAAATGTCATGAAGAACCTAGGGGTAAGACAGGAATAAAGACACAGACCTACTGGAGAACGGACTTGAGGATATGGGGAGGGGGAAGGGTGAGCTGTGACAAAGCGAGAGAGAGGCATGGACATATATACACTACCAAACGTAAGGTAGATAGCTAGTGGGAAGCAGCCGCATAGCACAGGGATATCGGTTCGGTGCTTTGTGACCGCCTGGAGGGGTGGGATAGGGAGGGTGGGAGGGAGGGAGACGCAAGAGGGAAGAGATATGGGAACATATGTATATGTATAACTGATTCACTTTGTTATAAAGCAGAAACTAACACACCATTGTAAAGCAATTATACCCCAATAAAGATGTTTTAAAAAAAAGAGTGTATGCATAAATGCACACACACACAAAATTTATAATATCTGTTTTGAATATCAGTGCAAACATTCTAAACAAAAGATTGGGTAAGGAGATGACCATTTTTCCAATAGTCCAACAACACTGAAACACAGTAGATTGCAAAAAGTAGCTCAGATGTTAAAATTCTGTTTATTGTTGTTTTTTATTTTTTATCAGATTTTGGGGTAGTGTTGAATTGAAATTGCCTAATTCTGATTATGGATTTTTCTAGTATCAGAGCCCAATGCTTATGTACTAATATTAATAGTAGCAAGACTAGAAATATAGTATATAAATAAACATATTTCTTTTCTACATGGTACTAATTTAACTACAAATAGAAATATTATCTCCCTTAATATTTATTTAGTATCATTATATACAGGTGCTTTGAGATTTACATGTACCAACATATAGAGGAGCTACTGATTCCTCCATACCAAAAACATGTTTTTAATAATTTGATGTTATAACAAAGTGAAACTCATGTTTGTGAAAGACTTAGCCCAGTCTAGAATTTCTACCTTTGGTGTGTTACAGGATAAAATGTTCTCTGGGGAGAGAGACTGTATCCTTGCTGTATACTCCTTGCTTATGTTGGTTTTGTTGATATGCTCTCTTGAGTTTTAGGCCTGGGAAGAGGCTTTGGCTTGCTGAAATATTCTGCAATGGGTATTTTCATCTTATTTCTTCTTATAAACAGTGGAAGCTTGTGCTCAGCCTCTGAAATAGAAAAAGTCTCAATAAGACCATAATTGAGACATTGAATATAGTAGCTTCTGCCATGTTTTAGTAGCAAATCACACACACACAAAATCTATATGAAGTTTAGGTGAATCAAATACACCCAAAATTCATAAAATAATTTATTCTCATCTTTCTTAGCACCTGCTCATCTTTAGTGAGTTATTTGTTCTATAACATGCAAGATATGTTCTTTCAATCTTAAAATCAAACATTATTTTGGTAGGAACGATTTAGAGCTGGTGATGAGTAAAGGTGAGGGATAAGGATGGGACCAGTGAGAGAAAGGTGAAGGATATATGGTCCTGACAGACAAAAAAGAAAGTAGACAAGCCGGTTAAAACAACTGTACTCAAAAGACCTTCCCAAGGCCTACACTGTTTACACCTAAACAGAAATAAGGATTTGGGGAGACGCTGAATACCAACACTAGAGACAAAGAGGTATGATTTGAGGATTTGTATACAAGTATCTAGACAGGGTAAAATATATTTGAGGCCTACAGATAAGACATAAAATTATGTAATAGAAACCATCACTGTCATGATTTTGTGATCATAGGGTGAAGAGTTTGTTAAAAGTCAGATACAATAGACCATCCTTGGAGTGTCAGAGTAAGGAGGTATTTTCTAATTTCTAAACTATACTTATTATTGCCTATTAGCAAATAGCATTTCTTTCGGGTTTGATTAATCCCAACAGAAACTGCTGGAGTCTAGAGTGACCTCCAGAAACTCTAATTGATTGCTATGTCATTCCTGGTATAAGGGGGACTTGCAGAAATAGGAAGACAGGCTTTTGTTTGAGGCTTGTAGACAGGCCTCATAGTTGTTGCCCTATAGCCATTGCTGCTATGTTTGTTTTAAAGCTAGGAGCTGCCAAACCCACAGGGATATTTTGATTGGACTATTCTGGACCAAACTAGGACTTTCCACAATTCTTGATTTTGCTTGGTCCAAATTGAAGGCTGGGGCTGGACTGCTGATGGGGACATAAAACTGCTACTCTCTGTTGTATTTCAGCTGTGTTGTGGGCATATGCTTGTGGCTAATTGTCAAAATTTTATTGTTTTCTCTGGCTGGCTTTGTTTCAAGCGAAAATCATTTAGCCCAATGACAGTTAAGCTGTGAAGAACCAAAACTCTGACTATCACTGTCCTTTTTGTTAGGTCAATGCAGGTTGTCTCCTGTCACTGGATTGGCATGACCAAACTTAAGAGTTCCTGCTGTCCTTCTGTCTTGCTTCTCAAAGAGTGCGATGAGGCACTCTGCCTTTCAAAACAAAGTCAAATATAGGTCAAATTTATCTCATTGAGAAATTCAGCAGATGCTGTCCCTTAAGAGTAGCTGTAAATCGCTATTGTATTATACTGCCTTTAAAACCACAGATCCTTAACATCCTTAACATCCTTAACATCCTTGTCTCTAACTAGTTAGATACTTACTGGTTTCCTTATACCAACTCAGTAATTATCGCAAACTGTACTTAACCTTTCAGGACTTCCTTATTTCCTTCAGATCCTTGACTTGACAATCTAAATCAATTGGAGAAAGAGAAAATGAAATTCACAGATACAAACAAGTATTTCCCATAGACTGCATTATCATCGACAAGCTAAGTATGTATGTTTCTTAAATAAGCTAACCTAATTCTTCATTTTTCAATGCAGACAGCATTAAATGTACTTTCCAATGAAAAATTCTTCTAACTTTGAGTAAACATCTGAACAGTACATCAGATATTACTCAGTAAGGCAGAGAAACTGACTCTATCTCCCAGTTTCCAATTTTATGGAAACTTCAAGGTGGCGACCGATTAAAATGTAAAATTCTTCCTCTGTCTTAATAATGCTTTTTTAAAGTGACATGTTATGTGTTTTGAATATTTATTTTCCCTGAATTTAAGATTTGCCCAACTTTTAATTTTAAAGCAACAAGATATTCTCTCGCAGCTTAAATAACATCTTACCATATTCTTTCACCATGCTGTTACACATAAACATGTATTTTCTTCTGCCATTGAAATTACAAAGCTTAAGACAAATTTCTACTGAAATAATTCCAAATTCCCTTAATAGTTGTTTTCCCTCTGGCAGCCCCCAGGCATACGTCAGAGAAAATTAAGTGGAGCAATTTATTTTAATCTTGCATTGTTCTAGACAAAAAAAAAGTGATTTAACAAAATACACAATAACAATGCAATTTTGGTTTTCTTTATTGCTTCTATTTTTAGATAAACTAAAAACCACTGCATTTTCTTAGATTTCTGGGTGGCTACTCTTGCTTTACCCTGAATGGAAAGGGAACTTTTCTCAAAAAGATGGGTTGTTAGGTAAGGAAGACATGGTCTCTGCCAAATGCTCTGAACAACAGGATTTAGAATGATTTCTCGTATTACGTTTATGAAAATGAAAGAAAACAAACACTCATTGTTGTCATTTACTGAATAAGGAGGATACTTAAAACTTCAGCGATTTTAGTGTTTTGAAAGATAACCAAAAGGGAATTCAGGGCTTCCCTGGTGGCGCAGTGGTTGAGAGTCCGCCTGCCAATGCAGGGGACACGGGTTCGTGCCCCGGTCTGGGAAGATCCCACATGCCGTGGAGCGGCTGGGCCCGTGAGCCATGGCCGCTGAGCCTGCGCGTCCGGAGCCTGTGCTCCGCAACGGGAGAGACCACAGCAGTGAGAGGCCCGCGTACCGCAAAACAAACAAACAAACAAACAAAACACAAAAGGGAATTCAAAGTCTTTATGAACCACATGCCCCATAGGTGGCCATTAGGCCTAATTACCTGCTCTGTTGATGTCCTTCCCTAGAACTGGTTAGCACTTCTGATTTTGCTGGTGAATCTGAGGGTGATTTAACTTTGGGTGGCCTGCCAGTCTCTGCTGCTAGTTCCGCTGAGGCGTTTCTTCTGAGGGGAGTTAACAAGTTTATCTCAGCCAGTTCAGCATGAATCAAAGCTGAGACCCACTCCTTTTCTGATTTAAAAAAAGAGAGGGGCATGAAGGTTGTAATTATCATGTTGGCTAGAAACACAGGATTAGTTCTTTTACTCAGCACTCCAGTGTGAAAGGTAATCTGTTTTCTGGGTAGGCACCTACGTGTGAGTTAAATTTTCTGTAGAAAAGGTGATTCACATCAACCTAATTTCTGTTGACCTGTGATATTGTATAGCTCTCAGAGTACTCACTGGGGTACTTGTCCCTGAGTGGCAGTGGAATACATTTTAAATATTGAGTATAAAATCCAGACTTACAGGCCACTGCCAAATAAAAACAAATAAGGATACCTATAAAAAGTATTAGTACCATGCGATCTCATTAAAATAAAGACTAATAGTTAAATAATAAATAGTTTTAAGCATCTCTACAAAGATATATACCAAAGTAGTACTAAAGTGATGTCCGTGAAAATTTTATTATTTTTCCTCTTTTATTATTTTTTTCTGGTTGATTTGTTTTTCACCCCCAAACAAGCACTCAATACTTGTGTAAATTTTTAAAAGTTATATTCTTAAAAAGGAAAAAAAAAGAATAACTAAAAACTCCTTATCCCCAAATACTTCTCAATTGCCTGCCAAGTAACCTTCCTGAGGTAAGGTACTATCTCCAAAGTACTCCCCATTTAAAAACATTAGTCTGTTCCTAACACATTGGTATTTCCTAACATTGATTACTGCAGTGATTTTCAAAGTGTGGTCCCCAGACCAGGCTTATCAGTGTCACCTGGGAACTTGTTAGAAATGTCAATTCTCAGACTCCACTCACCTCAGTTTTGCCTCAGTCAGTCTGATGACCAGCTAGGTCTGAGGTTAGCTGCTCTATGCTATTTATGGTTATCTCACTTGGGACTGGCATGTGCTTTCATGGAACAGGTCAGAAGAGCCTAAAGGAGGCTGGGAGTTGACTGACTTGATGGTTTTGGTGAGGAATTGGCAGAGCTGTTAGAATCTGGAATTTGGAAGGCTGTGCTATTGCCATCCACATAAAAGGAGGGAAACAGGCTGTATTCAGGGGTCACAGGAGGCCAGAAGATATGCTCAGGGAGAGCCTGGGTGTGCGGACTCAGGAGGAGAAGCACAAACCAGCTCTGGACACAAGTGTTTCACATCACCCGAAGAAGTTCAGCTTGGGGCATACCAAATTGTGGGTCATTGTATGGCCAGCTTGTGTGCAGTTGGATATACAGGACTCTGATGCTGAAACATCAGGGAAATAATATTGCAACCTTGTCTTTGCAAATCCAAGGTAGAAAACTTCAAACACTGGCACATTCCTAGTTTCTGACAATAAACTGAGCTCAGTGTTCACAAATGCTTAATCTCACCTTTTGAACTTGCATGGAACAGCCACTGTAGAACTTCTGCCAGAGAATCAGTACGTAGAATGTTACAGATCTTTTCCAGAACCTGACAGAGAACGTTAGAGTTACATAGTGAGCAAGGTTTGTAAGGTTTCCTTTACTCACTCCACAATCTCATCTTCCCAAATGTCACTCTGTACACAATGCTCAAGTCGATTGGGATTTTAGCTTGGGAGCCAGATTTCAAACAGGAAAAAAACATCTTCAGTACAAGTACATTTGACCCTGCAAGGCAGGGTTAGGGGCGCCGACCCTCCAAGCAGTCGAAAATCCAGCTATAACTTAGAGCCAGCCCTCCATACAGGTGGTTCCTCCATATTCACAGTTCCACATCCACAGATTCAACCAACCACAGATCATGTAGTACTATCATATTTACTATTGAAAATAATCCATGTATAAGTGGGCCCACACAGTTCAAACTTGTGTTGTTCAAGGGTCAACTGTGATAGTTTAGGTTAGGCGATGCAGTTTTGTTTTGTTTGTTGAGTACTAACACCTTCTGGAGGAGCAATTCACTTTTCTTCTCTTTCGGAATTGATACTTTCCCACTGCAGCATGGGGTTCTTTGAGTCACAGGGCTGCCCCATCTGTACTTCTCCTCTCTATAGTGAGTGAATCTAGCTGAATTCATCATTGTTCCTCAGTCCCCTGAACACAGTGATTGGCCCAATAGGATAGGAATACAATTACCTCTAGTCTATCAGAATCCTTCGTTGACTTTTTAATCTGGAGTTAAGGGCTGAGTGTGGATGACAGAGGAGATATATGAAATAATTCTAATAAAAATGGACTATAATAAGGCATTAAAGTCCAAAGTATTAAGCACATGTAGATGTTTCTAGTTTTACCCTAAATTGTGTCTGTTCTTGGAATTTAGACACATCTGAAATCCAAACCTGTCTCCTGAACTTCAGTCCTATTTATCCATCTGCCTACCAGACGTATCCACTTAGACATACTGTAGGTACTTTGAACCCCAAATATCTAAAGCTAAACCCAGCTTTCTCTTCATAAAACCTGCTCCAAACTTGCTGTTTCTCCTGGTTCCCCTATCTCAGTGGACACACCAGCATACATTGAACATATGTCCAAGCAAGACCCTGGGATTCATACTGGACAGCTCCCTTGTCCTTTTCTACAACATACTACCAACAAGTTCAGTAAATTCTTTCTTCTAAATATTTCTCAAATATCTCTATTTCTCTTTATCCCCACAGCCTTGACCCAGCCTAAACTATCATCAATTCTGCAACTGCAACATCCTTTTTCCTAGGCTTTCTGGCTGAAATCCTTTCTTAAAATACTATTAATTTAACAAATATTTGTGTCTGTCATTGATCTAGGTGCTGGAGATATAGAATTTAAAGTAAAGGGCAGAAAAATCCACTGTCCTTTATTGAGCTTTGTTCTATTATTAAGATTCCTGTCCTCAATAATGCCTTATCCTAGAAGAGAGAACAAGTTAAATTTGCTCCTAATTTCACAATAAATCAGTGGCCATGGCAAAAATAGAAAAATAGCCCTGTGGTATTATATTATTCTCTAGGCCACTCTGCCTCTCATGATTTTGTCATCAATATGGTGATTGCACATCACTCCCAGCTTCTTCTAATCCACAGGTCACTCATTTACAACTTTGAAAGAATATAATTATCCTTTTAGTGAGAGAAGATAGAATAAGTCCTCCTAGGAAACTTTTTCTTCATTGAGTTTTATTCTGGAAGCCAGTTAATATATTGGTGGGTGAGTTTGATCTGTTGAAATTTGATTTTAGGATTTGAGTGTAGGTCTAGAGTAGCCCCTACTGTGGGTTAGTATACCCTATTCTTTTTCTAAAGTGTGACCTTTCTGGGGTCTCAACTGCATTCCTGGCGTGTTCAGCAAGGTCTCTCTACTCTAGCAGATCAGAACTCCATCATCTTTAAGCAAAATGCTCCCTCCCATTAGCTCTCTTCTGCCAGGTCTCAGACTCTCATTCTGTGCACATACAGCTTTTATTGGGCTAAAGATTCAGGGAACCCAATACAGATTTCTGGAGCTCATTCTGTCCACAGATCCTTTTTCTTCAGTATCTTAATTTGCGAATTCCAGCCACTTCAGCATCCCCAAACACTGAACTCTGTTTTCTCTACCTAGTGAAGCTCTTACTCTCTGTTTGGGCTCCACTTCTCTGTGCCATGATTAGGAATGTGCCCCAGGAAGAAATCTGGGTTGAATGTGGAAATTATCCCAATTGTTTCACTTCCCTTAATGGTCATAAATCTGTGCTGTCTGGTGTCCAGTGCCTGGAAACAGTTTTTTGTTTGTTTGTTTGTTTGTTTCCCAGATATATTGTTGTTTACAGTTGGAGGCTAATGAACCTAACCTATCATTTTGGAAGCAGAGTACCTTGCTGGAAATTTTCTTCCCCCTCCCAAATTAATTCTGCATATTATATCTAGAATGATTTTTCTAAAGTACAACTCTGACAATGTAATTCTTGTACTTACAAAGTAATTCAGCCCTTGGGATGAAATCTGGCCACCTCAGTATAGCTTATAAAATACTTTATTATCTGGTTTCTGCTTAAGCCTCCAGCCCTGTCTTTTACAAACTTCTCCCAGCACTTTCTGCACCACCCATATCATTGCTTTTAGTTCCTTGAATAGATAGTGCTCTCACATCTTAGCGTTTAGATACGAAGTTCTCTTCACTGGGAATGAGCTCTTCCATGCTTTTCTTCATTTTCTAATTATATCTTAAACATTCTTTGGATTCCTTGCTCCTTGAAGACTCTCTTAGCTCCAAATCTACTCCTATATGTCCTGACAACATCTGTACAATTCCTCTTTTTTTTTTTTTTGCAGTACGCGGGCCTCTTACTGTTGTGGCCTCTCCCGTTGTGGAGCACAGGCTCCGGACGCACAGGCTCAGCGGCCATGGCTCACGGGCCCAGCTGCTCCACGGCATGTGGGATCTTCCCAGACCGGGGCACAAACCCGTGTCCCCTGCATCGGCAGGCAGACTCTCAACCACTGTGCCACCAGGGAAGCCCCCAGCTTTCTTTTGATTCCCATTTGCATGGAATACTTTTTCCATCCCCTCACTTTCAGTCTGTATGTGTCCCTAGGTCTGAAGTAGGTCTCTTGTAGACAACATATATGCGGGTCTTTATTTTGTATCCATTCAGCCAGTCTATGTCTTTTGGTGGGAGCATTTAATCCGTTTACATTTAAGGTAATTATTGATATGTATGTTCCTATTACCATTTTCTTAATTGTTTTGGGTTTGTTTTTGTAGGTTTTTTCCTTCTCTTGTGTTTCTTGCCTATAGAAGTTCCTTTAGCATTTGTTGTAAAGCTGGTTTGGTGGTGCTGAATTCTCTTAAATTTTGATTGTCTGTAAACGTTTTAATTTCTCCATCAAATCTGAATGAGCTCCTTGCTGGGTGGAGTAATCTTGGTTTTAGCTTTTTCCCTTTGATCAGTTTAAATATGTCCTGCCACTCCCTTCTGGCTTGCAGAGTTTCTGCTGAAAGATCAGTTGTTAACCTTATGGGGATTCCCTTGTATGTTATTTGTTGTTTTTCCCTTGCTGCTTTTAATATGTTTTCTTTGTATTTAATTTTTTATAGTTTGATTAATATGTGTCTTGGTGTGTTTCTCCTTGGATTTATCCTTTATGGGACTCTCTGTGCTTACCAGACTGGACTATTTCCTTTCCCATATTAGGGAAGTTTTCAACCATAATCTCTTCAAATATTTTCTCAGTCCCTTTCTTTTTCTCTTCTTCTTCTGGGGCCCGTATAATTCAAATGTTGTTGCATTTAATGTTGTCCCAAAGGTCTCTGAGACTGTCCTCAATTCGTTTCATTCTTTTTTTCTTTATTCTGCTCTGTGGTAGTTATTTCCACTATTTTATCTTCCAGGTCACTTATCCGTTCTTCTGCCTCAGTTATTCTGCTATTGATTCCTTCTAGAGAATTTTTAATTTCATTTATTGTGTTGTTCATCATTGTTTCTTTGCTCTTTAGTTGTTCTAGTTCTGTGTTAAACGTTTCCTGTATTTTCTCCATTCTATTTCCAAGATTTTGGATCATCTTTACTATCATTATTCTGAATTCTTTTTCAGGTAGACTGCCTATTTCCTCTTCATTTGTTTGGTCTGGTGGGTTTTTACCTTGCTCCTTCATCTGCTGTGTGTTTCTCTGTCTTCTCATTTTCCTTAACTTACTGTGTTTGGGGTCTCCTTTTTGCAGGCTGCAGGTTTGTAGTTCCCGTTGTTTCTGGTGTGTGTCCCCAGTGGCTAAGGTTGGTTTAGTGGGTTGTGTAGGCTTCCTGATGGAGGGAACTAGTGCCTGTGTTCTGGTGGATGAGGCTGGATCTTGTGTTTCTGGTGGGCAGGACAGTGTCCAATGGTGTGTTTTGGGGTGTCTGTGGACATGATTTTAGGCAGCCTCTCTTCTAATGGGTGGGATGTGTTCCTGTCTTGCTAGTTGTTTGGCATAGGGTCTCCAGCACTGTAGCTTGCTAGTTGTTGAGTGGAGCTGCGTCTTAGCGTTGAGATGGAAATCTCTGGGAGAGCTTTCACCAACTGATATTATGTGGAGTGGGGAGGTCTCTGGTGGTCCATTGTCCTGAAGTTGGCTCTCCCACTTCAGAGGCACAGGCCTGATACCCAGCCAGAGCACCAAGACCCTCAGTCACACAGCCCAGAAGAAAAGGAAGAAAAAAGGAAGGAAGGAAGGAAGGAGAAAGAAAGAAAGAAAATTAAAAGAAATAAAGTTATTAAAATAAAAAATTTAAAAATATTAAAAATAGAAAACGATTAAAAAGTAATTATAAAAAGAAAAAGTAGAAAGAGAGAAAGAAGAGAGTAACCAGACCAAAAAACAAATCCACCAATGAAAACAGGTGCTAAAAACTATACTAAAAAAACAAACAAAAAAAATGGCCAAACAGAACCCTAGGACCAATGGTAAAAGCAAAGCTATACAGACAAAATCACACACAGAAGCATACACATGCACACTCACAAAAAGAGGAAAAGGGAAATAAAAGTATATATATATATACCTGTATATTAAAAAAAAAGGGAACAGAGTAACCAAATCAATAAACAAATCTACCAATGATAATAAACTCTAAAGACTAAACTAAGATAAACTTAAAAGCAGAAACCAGTCAGTCGCATACAGCAAACCCTAAGTCTACAGTTGCTCCCAAAGTCCACCTCCTCAATTTGGGATGATTCGTTGTGTATTCAGGTATTCCACAGCTGCAGGTACATCAAGTTGATTGTGGGGATTTAATCCGCTGCTCCTGAGGCTGCTGGGAGAGATTTCCCTTTCTCTTCTTTGTTCGCACAGCTCCCGGGGTTCAGCTTTGGATTTGGCCCCGCCTCTGCATGTAGGTCACCTGAGGTCGTCTTTTCCCGCTCAGACAGGACGGGGTTATAAAGGAGCAGCTGATTCGGGGGCTCTGGCTCACTCAGGCCGGGGGGGGAGGGAGGGGCACGGAGTGCGGGGCGGGCCTGCGGCGGCAGAGGCCGGCATGACGTTGCACCGGCCTGAGGCGCGCCGTGCGTTCTCCCGGGGAAGTTGTCCCTGGATCCCGGGACCCTGGCAGTGGCGGGCTGCACAGGCTCCCCGGAAGCGGGGTGTGGAGAGTGACCTGTGCTCGCACACAGGCTTCTTGGTGGCGGCAGCAGCAGCCTTAGCGTCTCATGCCCGTTTCTGGGGTCCGCGCTGATAGCCGCGGCTCGCGCCCGTCTCTGGAGCTCCTTTAAGCGGCGCTCTGAATCCCCTCTCCTCGCGCACCAGCAAACAGAGGCAAGAAAAAGTCTCTTGCCTCTTCGGCAGCTCCAGACTTTTCCCGGACTCATTCCCGGGAAGCCCGAGCCTCATTCCCAGCCCCCGCCCGCCCCGGCGGGTGAGCAGACAAGCGTCTCGGGCTGGTGAGTGCTGGTCGGCACCGATCCTCTGTGCGGGAGTCTCTCCGCTTTGCCCTCCGCACCCCTGTTGCTGTGCTCTCCTCCGCGGCTCCGAAGCTTCCCCCCTCCGCCACCCGCAGTCTCCGCCCGCGAAGGGGCCTCCTAGTGTGTGGAAAGCTTTCCTCCTTCACGGCTCCCTCCCACTGGTGCCGGTCCCGTCCCTATCCTTTTGTCTCTGTTTATTCTTTTTTCTTTTACCCTACCCAGGTACGTGGGGAGCTTCTTACCTTTTGGGAAGTCTGAGGTCTTCTGCCAGCGTTCAGTAGGTGTTCTGTAAGAATTGTTCCACATGTAGATGTATTTCTGATGTATTTGTGGAGAGGAAGGTGATCTCCGCGTCTTACTCCTCCGCCATCTTGAAAGTCTCCCTCCCGAGTGCTTCTTAATTGTTTTCCTGGCTCTGAGAAGAGATGTTTCATTCATCAGAAGAAGCGCTATGCATTTGATGTTTAAGGGTTCATTAAAAAGCTTGAACGAGCATTCTCTGTCGTTTGCATATACACATTAGATATTTCACAGATATTGAGAGGTTAGGGTGATAGTTTATTTCTGACTTTTTGTTTAATGAAGGAAAAATTACTGTAGTGTGTGAATAGAGAAAAGGGGGAAAATGAGCGTTGGTGTGCCCTTTCAAAAAAAGTTAGAGAATACCTAAACTTGTCGAAGAAATATATCAGGGTGGTTGGGTGGGTTTTTTGTTTGTTTGTTTGTTTGAGGGCAAGAGGGGATTCAAAATTGTTTTCAAACTGATGTTGCTACTCCAACTCTACCAATTCCCTCAAAGAGATTTTTATTCCAGTCGCAAGGTTAAAGTTCCATGTTCACCACTAGGTGGCGGCAACACGCCATCCACAGACTTGGCTGTGTCCAGGTCAGCTAGAGCCTGAAGAGCCAGAATGGAGGCAGCAACTGCTGTGGTCAGTTTCCTAAACTAATAAACCCTTTAGAAGGTAAAACTCAATGAAGAGTTGTGTATAGCCCTTTCAAAAAGATACTCTTGATAAATTGGAACATCTGCTTCCACCAGTAGATTGCTTTCACTAGTGGAGTTGACATTCTACCTCTTGGATAAGCAGAATGAACAATTAAAATAATTTCTACAAAACTGTCTTACAGAAATGTGAGCTACCATTGACTCAAGTTATTATTTCAGGTTGACTACATTTAGAAACATGATTCTCAATCCTGGGTGTACCAATGAATTACTTGGGGATTTTTTTTCCCAGGAGGCTTTCCATATATATGGGTAGAATCCACCCTCTGTGATAGCACAATAAATATTTACTGAATGCATGAGTGAATAAAAGAATACATAGGACAGGTAGGGAGTTGATGAGAACAAAGGGTACTGCCAGACTCTTTTGGCTGGACCATGCACTGGCCTGGAGAAAGCATAGCAAAGCTCCCAGCAGTGACAGCCATGGTGCTTCCAGAAAAGTTGCAGTTTGGGTAGTTGCAATAACCCTGAAGGACCTGGACAGTAACAGACCTTGTCAAAAGTCAGTAGATTGAGAGTTTTCCCCAGAGAATACTGAGCTTATTAATATCTGGCACTAGGACTCTGTATCCAAGTTGGGAAAAACAGCTCATACATCTAATCTATGGCTGGTAATCCTAGGGCAAATGTTAGCATCCTAGCCCTAAGATTTTCTAATTATTTTCTTTATTTGAAGGCTGATAAGATTGGTCCCTGGCTGGCTGTGGAGCAGAGGAGGGCCACAGGGTGTAGCACAGGGTGACCTCTGCCCAGGATAGTATCTTGCCCCTTGGGGTAAGGCTCAGAGCCCAGGCTGGATATCAGAAGCACCTGAGTAGGTCTGTAAAAATTCTGGAGCTCTGAAATAGTACCTGCAATTTGTTTTAAAAAGCCTTTCCTGGTAGGGTGATGCAGAGTCACGGGAGGAAAAAAAAATCGCTGTGGAGCCAGGCCTCCAGCAAGATCTGCTCTGTAGCCAGAGGGTGCTGACTGTTCCTACAGCACTCAGCTGCCCTGTCCCCTGTTCACACTGGGTTCACACAAGGCCTGATTTCAGTACCTCCACCTTGGCCTGAAATGTTACAGTACTGAAGGCAGACTTGACAAAGCTCAGCTGCTCGTTTATGATCAGCTGGGCATCCTTTTTTTATTCTTAATAGCTGACATTAATTTAACAATTACATGTATTCTAACTATCCAATGAGATAGAAACTATTATCCTTATTTCACAGATGAAAGAATTGAGTCTTACAGAGAAGTCTTGGATAGAGCTTAGAAATGGCAGAATTGTGACCAGAACCCAGTTGTTTGAAACCAAAGCTTCTGTTCAGCCAAACCTCCTCCAGAACACATTTCTGTTAGCTATGATGGAAAGCCTCGTGGAAGAACCTGATTGATAACTATACACATATATATGTCATATAAACAAAATCTTATGAAGCTTGGAAGCAATACTAGTGGAAGTGTAATAACTATTGTATAATTTCTAGATCTAGCAGGAAATAGATGCTACCTCCAAGCTGAATTATTGAGAAGAGTTTGATAGATGGTAAGGCTGTGGACAGGATTTTTAAAAAGCAACAAACAAGAAGTGGTCTAGTACCCTGGAGTGAGTAAGGGGGGCTCGGGGTGTTGGGAGGTGGGAGAGGGAGCATTTACTGGAACCAGGAGAGAGACAGAGCTGCACAGAGAGGGCCCCTGACAGCGGCTGTGGCCTTTGCTACAGGGACCCACAGAGAAGCACCTGGGAAATAAATCCTCAACCCGACTCTTTACCTCTTCTTCTGCCTATGATCCGCCCTTGGCCAAAACCCAGCCAGAAGGCAAGAGAGTCCATCAACGTATCCAGTTAGCCTTCCCTGAGGACAGAGCAGGGTAGAGAGGGAACCTTGGGGAGCAAACAGGTGATACCCAGAAGATTTGTATGAACTTAAAATATGTCTGTAGACATTTGGGTTGAAAAATGAAAAGTATTACACTCCAAAATAATGATTAGCAATCAAAAATAAAATTATCCTGGCAAGTACCTATTACAATGTGCATTTTAATTACATCATATTCTTCTAACTTTAAAACACCCCTTCAAAGACATGCCTCATTTACTGGGGCTCTGAAAAATGTGCTAACTTGGTCAAAGTATATGGCTAGTACCTGGCCAAGCTCAGTCTCTAACTCCAAAACCTATGATTTTTTTTTTCACTCTAAAACACTGAAAATGAACCAAACTGAGTATGTATAAGCCAATCATTTTATCTAGAAAGACCTAAAAAGATGGGAAGAAAAAATATAGTAAATATTTTTTAGATGAATCATTAAGTTTTTATAATGGATCATTTAAATATAAAAAAATTATGTTGCTTAGTCTTATTTCATTTTTCTCTTTAAAAGGAACTATTCCAACCCCATGGTGCACTTGAAAAAGTTAATAATTTGTTTATTCTGATGAATAATTTTAGATCCACCTAATTTGTTTTGTTGACTTTCACATCTCTACTGGGGTAGATGGAGAGAGGGAAGAAGCAGAATCTGCATTTACAGAGTGGCTGTGCTTTAGCATGACCTCAGGTTGGGCTTTTTGAACCAGGATTCAAAAAAAAAAGAAAAAAAAATAGGGAAGGGAAGAGCCCCTGGGCACTGCTGAAGACTGTCACTTCAGATGCCAAGGAGGCCATCTCCTCTCCTTCTTTCATGTTGGCAGAAATGTGGCCATATCTCTGATTTTCAAGCATATTCTGATATAAAATATTCTGTTTCTCTCTTTCCATAAAGCACTGAAATGTTTCAGAAAATTCCTACATGAGTGTCCAAATTAAGCTTCCAAGATGAGGTCCGAAGTATTAAAGGGAGTGACATCGCCAGCATCAAAAGCAAACCCTTTATTAGACTGTGTTGATTTTTAATTAAGAAAATAAAATGCACTATATTTGGGGCATAATTAAACCTTTTAAGTTAGAAGTTTTTTGTTTTGAAATAATCCAGGGCAAGTTGCAGACTTGTTCTCAGTTTAGTCCTCCCCCACAGGATTATAGCTCAGACTTCATTTAGCCACCAGCTTTTGCATGTTATGCAACCCTGGGTCTTGTCGTCAGTGAGAACTGCCATGCGGCTCCATCGTGTCACATACTGTCATTCCTTGGACCAGAAAAGAAAATCAGGGCCACAGTTCTGCATGTACCGGGGGAGAATTTCCCTTTGCAGTACGGTACACATACACCTGTGTGTAAAACCAGACTATTGTACTACCTGTGGGACCAAGGGCAGGTTATCTGAAATCTTCGATAGCCAGTTTTGTTAATGCCTTCCTCAAAGCGTCATTGTAAGTTTTCAATTAAAAAAGTCCACGTAAATTGATCATGTATTAGTATCTGGCAGGTAGTAGGGTTACTTAAATATTAACTTTTGCCCCTATTTCCAGGGCTATCTCCCTAATATGCCCTAAAATAGCAAGCCACCTGGCATCTATTCTAATGGATTGTGGACCCATTCTGATTATTTGGTGCCCATGCCTTTCAGGTTTGATAACTATTCTGAATATTACATCTGTCCATTATGTTCCTCGTGCAGAATCTATTCAAAGTTATAGTGGCAAGCATTATAAATTAATATATTATAAAATTATAAATTGGTATCTAGTTTATCAATTCTTCATGGGTGTGATTCATGTGAATCAGCCTTCAGGGTCTAATCAAACTTAGGCATACTAATAAAATCAAGTTCTTGAACTTGCAAAGCTGAGAAGTTTCTAGACCAAAGATAACCTCATGACACCACAGCATCCCATGGAGACAGGATTCAACATTCCCCTGGATCTACTCTCTAACCATCTTAACTGATAATGTAAAACACAAGGAGAGGGCTTCCCTGGTGGCGCTGTGGTTGAGAGTCCGCCTGCCGATGCAGGGGACACAGTTTCGTGCCCGGGTCTGGGAAGATCCCACATGCCACGGAGCGGCTGGGCCCGTGAGCCATGACCGCTGAGCCTGCGCGTCCGGAGCCTGCGCGTCCGGAGCCTGTGCTCCGCAACGGGAGAGGCCACAACGGTCAGAGGCCCGCGTACCGCAAAACAAACAAACAAAAGAACAAAAAAAACACAAGGCGAGGCTGGGCGGAGCAGCAGTCACGGAAATAGCTGATTCACTCTGAGTGCCGCATTCTCATTGTGCCAGGAAGAGAGTTCCCTCTGAATATGGAGTGGACTTTTGCAACGGAGAAGTGGTCTGCACCTACTTCTGGTGCTAACATTCTGGAATCTTACTCCATGTTTTACCGAGACAAGTCCTGAGGGGAACTCTGGAAGCAAAGCGAGAACAAATCAATGAACCTGACTTACGGCCATGCAGCGCATCCAGAGCCATCTTTGCCTCCTTTCAAGGCCATGATCCTGGCTTCTGGTCCTTACGCAGCACGCTTCCCATTGTTGTGATGGTTTGTGGCTTGTCTTCTGCAAGAAACAATCCCTAGACCCATGGCAGTAATAAAGAACTGCCGGGCCTTGGTGCCTTGAAATTATTTTCAACTGGTCCTTAGCCAGATACATGGCAAAACCAATTTCCCTAACTGTTCTGTTTTTTCTTAAGGGGAGCTCAAGAGGGGCACAAAACAACTTGGATTTATACTTTTTCCACAATTCCTGATCTCCTTGAACGGAAATTCTCATCAACCAGCATGCTCGGCTGGTGAGCTGAGCACAATGGAGAGTTTATGTGGAGCAGACGTGAAGCCCTTGCCTTATAATGAAAAATCTGCTCTGGATTCTTCTCCTGGGCAGGGTTTGCATGGAGAAGAAAAGTTTTGAAACTGCCAAGCATAATCTCACACAGCAGTTCTGCAAACTGGCACAGCACGCCTGAAAAAGGATTAGCAAAATCTTCACCTGTCAGGGTGCAGCTGCAGAAACCCCATCTCAACCCTGCTTTCCAGCTTGGCCCCATCCTGGCATGGCTTGGCATAGCGGAAAGATTAAAGGATGAGTTTCAGCTTGCAGCTGGTTGTTTGCCTTACCACCTGAGTTTGGAGTGTTTGAAAAAACAAAGATCAGAGTAAAACTCCACCCTTAAGGTTTGGTTTGCTAAGGCAGAACAAAAGTCACTGTGATTCTAGTGACTAGCAGTTGTATGCCATTGGGTACTACAATTGCATAACTATTTTTGCTATTAAGAATGATTCAGCAATAAACGGAGGTCCATTTCCCTGTGCACACAAAGGCTCTTTTCTTACTTTCTTAACCTTAGGGGTATCACTTACTGTAATTTTCATTTACTGAGTGTTCGACAGTTTAATGGGCACTTCTACACACAGTACTTCACTTCGCCTTCACAACAAGCCCTGAAGTCAGTATAATTTCCTCTCATTGTGAAAATCAGAGCATTTAGTGTCTTTTCATGAGCACTTACCAGTCACTGCTAGAGGTGACAGTCAAACCTTGCTCTCCTGACTCCACTAAGTATTCTCACTCCCCTGCTGTCATCATGAGACTGGGTGATGCGAGTCCTGGCTGGGGTCCGTGATAGAAGGCTGTTACTGAGAGGGAGGGCTCAGAGCTGTGAGAGAGGAGGGCTGACAACCTGAAGCTAACGTGACCCTGTCCACCACACACACTCACATCACAGCACCTGTGTAGTGATGCAGGTGCACAGAAGGTGACCAGCTCAGCTCCATTTTATTTCTTAGATCAGGTGCTATAAGGTGTCCTGGCTTTAGCACTGAAAAGCCTGTGACTTGGAAACCCCCTCAGTCATGGGCAAACCAGGACGGTTGGTCACCCCCCATATGGATAATATTCTGCCTCTTTGTTTCCACATAAATATCTGGTAGCACCTCTAGATTCAGAAGATTCTTAGCCCCAAACTCTTAGGAAATTCTAGAGGCTTCTGGGAACACACAGTGGATCTCAACAAGACAGTTTTTACTGAGCCTGGACTCTGGGTCATTTTGCCCCAAGTGGTTACATTTTAAATATTTAAAAAATTTAAACCCTTGGTTACCAGTGGGAACCAAGTTAATAACAATGATATTTTCTACTAATTATGAAACAGGCAGTATAGGAAGTGCTTTTGATCCTCACTGCTAATCTTTGACACATAATGTGTTATTATTACTCCCATTTTACAAATGTGGTATTGAGGTCATACGTATTCAAGCAAGGCTCCAGACCCTGAATCAGGTGTATCTGACTCCAAAGCCCATATTCCTGCAGCACATTTCTCAAAGTTCTTCCAGGTCCCCTGTACCCTGTCCCAAGCAAATCGGAATTGCATGGCTACTTTGAGATCAGCACCCTTCTTTAGAGGCTCTTGGAAACTCAGGAGTGGAACCAGGCTCACAGCATTTTGGAGATACAGTACCCTGAGAGACTTGGCCCCAGAATGTCACAGAAACACTGTAAAAAGGGTTTACAGGGGAGATTCAGCTGGTAACTTCTCTAAACCAAAAATTAGGACTAACCACATGCTATATCATGCAACATGACCATGAACATTTTTATCTCAACTTTCAGTTTTTGACATTTTAACATCCAATCAATTATCCTGGAGAAGGGATTAGGGCCATAAAGATTTATACAGATATTAAACCTTATTGGACACACTATTTTCTTGTAAAATTTTATTTTTTAGATTAGGTGCTATAAGATTTTGTCAAGGCCTTATGAAGGAGTTTACCAAATGAGTACTTTTTTGTTTGTGCTGATACCACCCATATTGGTACTCTTTTTCCTTTGTTCATAAGTAAACAACTATTTGTTGCTGAGATAAATTTTGGTTTCTTTGGTTTGAAAATTAAAACTCAAAATAGCTGTTTGGTCCACACCTGCTTAACTCTATCTGATAAGACCTGTAAGATATGCTGGGTTTCTTCAGTGTTTTGCTGCTAAAAAAATGGTGTTCACAGTCAAGGCTGATCGACTGGTAGTGCTTTTACCTGGTGGATTTAATTTAGCCAGTGAGTTAGAATGACTAATTCTAATTGCTAATTCTATTTTCTTTTCTCATGGACTTTATTTTTTTTCCTGTTCTTTTCTAAAATAATATTAGCAATCCCACTCCTGGGCACATATCCAGACAACACTATAATTCAAAAAGATACATGCACCCCATGTTCATAGCAGCACTATTCACAATACCCGAGACATGGAAACAACCTAAATGTCCATTAACAGATGAATGGATAAAGAAGATGTGGTCCAGGGACTTCCCTGGTGGTCCAGTGGTTAAGAATCTGCCTCCCAATGCAGGGGACATGGGTTCTATCCATGGCTGGGGAATTAAGATCCCACATGCCTCAGGGGAACTACTGAACCTGCGTGCTCTAGAGTCTGCATGCCACAACTTGAGAGCCTGTGTGCCGCAATTACTGAGCTTTCACACCACAACTAGAGAGAACTTGCACACTGCAACGAAAGACCCTGCATGCCACAATGACGATCCCGCATGCTGCAACTAAGACCTGAAGCAGACACATAAATAAATAAATAAATAATAAAAAAGATGTGGTCCATATATAGAATGGAGTATTATTCAGCCATAAAAAAGAATGAAATAATGCCATTTGCAGCAACATGGATGGACCTAGAGATTATCATACTAAGTGAAGTTAAGTCCGAAAGAGAAAGACAAATACAACATATCACTTATATGTGGAATCTAAAATATGGCACAAATGAACGTATATATGAAACAGAAACACACTCACAGACATAGAGAAAAGACTTGTGCTTGCCAAGGGGGAGGGGAGGTGTGGGAGGGATGGATTGGGATGTTGAGGTTAGCAGATGTAAGCTATTACATATAGAATGGATAAACAAGGTCCTTCTTACTGCTAATTCTGAATTAGGCATATAGGTTTTAAATTGGACCTACAACACTTACTATATTGCATTGAGAGAGATATCTGTGGGCAAAGCTTATACCAGGTTTTCAAAAGAAAGTTTTGTTCATATCTGTTGTCTGAAAAAATATTTCATGATCTGAACAGCTTTGAAGACTTAGAAAACCTGCTCCACTGATTGACTCCACAAGAGTAAAACGTCCTTTGTGTAGAATAAATTTACTTGGAGGTAAGTCTGCCAGTGCACCCCCAAATAGTGTAAACAATAAAATTCATCCTGGACACTCTCCTATCAATACAGTCAGTAGATCCAGGAGATTCCAGGATCAGTGCATCTTATTTTAAGAAATAGTGGCTTGAAGTATTTAAACAGCTACTTCAGAAGAGTGAAGCACTTGCCCAAATAAAAGCCCTTTGGCATCTGAGAGCCAGTATACAGGGTGGACTTCTGCTCTGCACTGCGTGCCTTTGTGCCATGCACAACCTGTGCAACTGTATGAGACAGCCGTGTATGTAACGGTGATTTGGGTTCAGACCATAATCTGTCTACGTGCAGAGCTAACAAGTTTTACATATCTTACTATCCCCCAAATATCTATAAACTATAGTTATCCATACCTATGTTCTATATACCCCCAACTCCTCTTTCCAAATTTTGACCTTCTATTCCAATTTGTTTACATTTTCTTGGCCTTATTTTCATTTATGTTTAATTACATGTTTTCCACAAACTACATCATGTCTTTGTGGCATGAAGGAGAGCATCAATAAATACACACACACACATGCCTAAAATCAGCTGCGCCTTGCAGAGCAGCTAAAGAAGCATACAGTACGTTTTTACTGGGTTGTGTTGAGCTGAACTAACCTGACATGTTTTTATATTCCCAGATATAAGGTGGATAAGAAAGCTTTCAGTCATTTTCAATAGGTTTGATTATCCTGTCTTTGTTAGAGCTCTACCCATGGTTTGATCATTATAAGTTACTGTATTGCTTTTCACAACTTGATCTGCAAATGGTGGGGCTCATGAGCCATTGGAAAGTCTTGAAGGCTATGAGTCATCGCTAAAGGTGGAACTGTTGAGCCAGACTATTTAACTGAAGGCACAAGATGCTGTTATTTACAGCAGACGGAGCCAAACATCAGGCAGAAAAAGTCTCTGTTTACTAATAAACAGAATGAAGAGAAAGACAGGATGGGCACTAATGGAAAAGTAAGCAGAACATTTCTGTATCCTCATTATGATCTAATAATGTGGGACTGATTGTTAAAACTTGGAATACCTTAACGTAATTAAATACTTGGGGTTATTTCTTGGGGAATTAAATGCCCGTTGAGCAAGCATACACTTGGTGGGGGGGACACTAGGTTGGAGTTTCAGAGAATGCCAACAGAAACAGGATAAAACAGCGTATTAAGGTTTTTGAGTAAGACAGTGGGGGAAAATGGAGAAATGTGGTTTCTATTGACATTATTAATAATTTAATTTCAGGATAGCTGGGCATTTGTGCTGGTAAGCAAAATGTTT